TCTGAATACAAGAAACAAACATGACTCAATCGAATCATCTTATTGACAATTTACGTCTGATCTTTTCACATCCATACATTTTTTTAAAGTGATTGAAGAATGTCTCTTGAGTTGACTTCTAACTGGAACATTTGCAGTTGAGCAAAATTTATTTCATGAAAGATAATTTTCACCTTTTGGAGATTGTTCGTTTTCCAAATGAAGCTATACTGGAAATCTAAGGAGAAAGTAAAAACAAGAAGTAAATTTGGATGCAGCAGTGTACAACTTGGCTCTGTCAAGGGAATATTGGATATTAGTGAAACTTCCTCACATGTTAGAAGCTGAACTTCCAGTTCAGTGACTGGTTAAGAGCTTTCCTAATAGTGTTGTTGGAAATTTGAGACACTTAGAGTTGTACATATATTTGTACTGATTTAAGTCATAGTGACCTGACCCACCTGAGAGCAGTTAAACAGGCAAGACAGTCATACTCAATGCTTAAAGTCTGCAGAACTTGATACGGTTTTTAATTTGTCTTTTTCTGTGTATTTTTATTATTTTTAATAGCATCCTCTGAATTATCTAGAATTATCTGAATTGTCTATTTTTTAGTATATATTTTAGCTAACATTTTCCCCAAAAAGTTTGCTACATTTCCAAGTCTGAAGGAAGGATGCACAAAGAAGAAAGGCAGCCAGGGGCATGGTGCTGAGGTCAGCAGCAGCATCTCCATAATGGCCACATACATTATGTTATTATGTTTTGTGTTATGGGTGGTGCTGGCTGTTGCAAAAACAGGACAGCTTGAGCTTGCTTCTCCTGCCACAACTCTTTGTTCCTTGCAGTTTGATCCAAGATGGGGTCTGCAGACAGGGGCAGTCCTCCATTTTCCTAAACTTCAAGGCAGTAGCTTCACATGGAAACTCACTTCGTAAACCTCCTGGATTGCAGAAAAGCAGGATTGCTAGTCTCACAGGCATAGACTGGAGGGTCCAGGACTCCAGTGACTCATTTGGGCAGCTGCTCTGTATAATGGAGTGTTTTGAGAGTTGAAAAATGAGAGGCTGGAGCTGGAAGGAGATAAACTTCTGACTTCACTTGGGATGCGCCTGTGTGCTTGTGAGTCACTGACTGTGTGTGAGGAAAGAGTTCTCTTGGAATGAGCTGAAGTTTTCTTCTCTTCCAGAAAATGAATCACTTGCTTCTGAGTCTGTTGGTTTTTTGGTTTTTTTTTTTTGTTAATATTTATGAAATAAACAGTTTTCAGAGACTTTGGTACATTCAAATATGTTTTTTTGTTGGTATATAGGAGTCATAAGGGATCTCACTTGGTGTCATCAGCAAACTTGCTGAGGGTGCATTTGACCCCGCTGTCAATGTCATTGATGGGGATATTAAAGAGTATCGGTCCCAGCACTGACTCCTGTGGGACACTACTTGTCACTAATCTCCATCCAGACACTGAGCCATTGACTGTCACTCTCCGAAGTCGAACCAGTTCTCCCGCATCACCTCCCTATCTTCTGTGTGCCTTAGTATAACTTTGAGGAGGATCTGCTCCATGATCTTTCCTGGCACAGAGGTGAGACTGACAGGTCAGTAGTTCCCAAGGCCATCCTTTTTACCCTTCTTAAAAATGAGTGTGATGTTGCCTTTTTTCCAGTCACTCTAGGCAGCCTTCAATCCTGATGTCACCAATCAGTTCATTTGCATTGGTGAACAACAGGCCAGTATTGCATCCTCCCTGGTGGGGCCACCTATTGCTTGACTCAGTAAGTTATCCTCAGGGCATTCCAGGAGCTTCCTGGACTGCCTACAGCTTGCCATGCTACTTTTCCAGCAGATGTCTTGTGGTTGAAGGCTCCCAGCAGGATGAGCACTTGCAATCATGATGCCTCCTGTAGTTGGAGGTAGAAGGCCTCAACGGGCTCCACTTGGTCAGATGGCCTGTGGCAGACAGTGATCACAAGGCTACCTTTGCTGCCTCGGTCTCTAACTCTATCTATAGGCTTTTCACTTGCTCATGATTATTCTTTAGGGACAGCTTTTCACATTCTATTCGTTCCCTGCTGTAGATAGCAATATATCTTCCCCTCCATTGCCGCCTGTCCCCCAACTTGTAGCCATCGCTAGCCATGCTCCAGTCATGAAAATCATTCCACCAGGTTTCAGTGATGACAACTGTATTGTGGGTTTCTAGTTGAGCAGTAGCTTCCAGCTCCTCCTGTTTGTTTCCCAAGCTGCATGCATGGTAAAGATACTTCATCTGGGCAGCTGGTCTTGTCACTTCCTTGAAAAATAACTCCTTAATTCCCTTTAAGTATTTTCCTTGTTATTCTCCATTGCCTTCTCCTGTTGTCCCAGCAATCTCTGCCTCATCATCATGGGATTTTGCGTGTGCTGCACTGTTACCAGTGCTTCTCAAGGAAGCAGGTCCTTCAAGGCCCCTGCTAGCACACTGTCCCTCTTATCTAGTTGTTCCATACCACACCTTATCATGGGAAGGCTCACTATCCTTCCTTCCGTCTCCCTTCAGACATAGTTTAAAGCCCTCCCAAAGAGCTCCACTAACTTTCCCCCAAGGACCCTTCTTCCTTTTTGAGAAAGGCAAACCCTATCTGATGCCACAAACCCAGTGCCATGTAGGCTAATTGGTCGTCTAAAGAACAAAGTTCTGGTGATGGCACTAGCCACAAAGCCAGGTATTTAAAAGTAAGATCCTTTGATTTGTTTGCATGTCCTTATCCAATACAAGAGGCAGAGAAGATAAGATGATCTGTGCATTCAGTTCCTTCAGTCATCATTCCAAAGCCCTGAAGTATTTTTTGATAGGCCTTGATCCATATGTAGCATCTCTCACTATATGGAAAAGCAGTAAGGGGTTGTGGTCTGTTGGCCATACCAGGCTAGGTAGTTTCCTTGTGACATCCCTCATCCAAGCCCCAGGAAGACAGCAGACTTCTCTAAGAAGAGGATCTGTAGGGTCTGTTCTCTACACCTACAACCAATACCCATCTTTTCTTTTTCAATAATGTAGTCTTCATGCTGGGGGAAGGCTTTTCCTGGTTTGATTTCATTAGTTAGTGTTTCCCTTCAGATGGCACCTTTTCACCTGTGCCACTTGGATTTTGATAGTAGAATCACTAATTTTTAGTTCAGCACCCTAACTCCATTGTCTTAGAAGATAACTGAGCAGGCAACTCATTGCAGCTATTCTTCATCTGTGTTCTGTGATCAACTGAATATGGTGTCTGTTGGTGACCGAAGAAGCTGTTGAGGTACTCGCGTTACTTTTGCTTGATTGTAAGAGCCTGAGACTTGAATATTCACCCCAAAACTGGCTGTGGAACTGGTCTGTAATTTTGGTCCCGTAAAAGTTGATTTCATGGCTAACTGGTCTTTTGATGAGTCTTACCTTGTTTCTTCTCTCTTTCTTCTCAGAACACTTTAGGGAATGATTTTGGAGAATAATCCATATGCTTTCCTTTCCCTTGTGAGGCAAAATGCAAGATATTTTTTTTCCTTTGCATAGCTGCAATGAAATATAGAATGGTGTGGAGAATTTTATTGTATTTCTTTTTATTTAATATTTTGCTGGATCAAGTTCTGTCTTTTCCCTATGATTTCTTTAGAAGATATTTGAATATAGTTCTGTGGTGAAGTAAGAACACTAAATTGTGCATATTTTTCACACTAACTATGGGTTGTTTCTTTTTTCAGAATATAAAGTTTTGGATCTTTTTTGTAGTTACCACTGTGAACTTCGGTTACTGGAACTAATCAGTAACAAGCTGCTGTTACAGCTAGTCAAGAAGTTTTCATTGATGGCATTAAGTTTTTTTCTTCTATCTCTTATTTCTCTGGCTGACCTGACTTTCACATGAAATGTTAAAGAAAAACAGGTCCAACCTAAAATGCAAACTAGTTGTTTGTTTAGTTCGTAAGAATTTCTAAGGACAAAGGGGTCAGGTAAAGAATCACCGCGGCTCTGATTATGACCTGATGTTACTGTTATGGCCAGTAATTAGTTTTTCACCATTAATAGCTTTTGCACATGTGTGAGTGGGACTGGTCACATTGACCTTTCTTTGTTTTCTCAAGATGTTCAACTTGTAAAACACTAGGAAGAATCATTACTTCTTACCTAAGATTGTAGAAATTGCTGGCAGAGGGTTGCTTTCAATTGAAGTATATACATTTTTAATAATTCAAAATTATACTTTTATTATTAGTCATCATACATTTGCTTTAATTCCTCTTCCTGTTTCCTGAAATTTGGTACTTAAAAAAAAAAAAAGGCTTATTTTTCTTAAACTTCCATGAATATCAGATGTAAAGTTTTTGAAGTATATAATGTAAATGAGATTACAGAAGACAATGTATTTCTTAATTTACTTATAGCAGTAGCTCCCTTTTGTATCATCATGCATTAGACTCGTGGTGAAAATGTGAGGATTGTCTGCACATGGTGAAAAGCTTAAGAGGACTAGGAAAGAAAAATGGGATAACTGTTTTAAATGGGACAAGCTTAAATATTCAGACACATCAAAAAATTATTGGAAACAGACTTTTGGACCAATTTCCTTTTGCAACCACATATGTGCTTTTCCATCATCCACATATTTTAAGAATGTGAGTGGAAAATGAAAATAAGTATATATTAGTCTTAAATGCAGATGATAGGCCTCTATCATCAGATAAGTTATACCGCCTACCTCTTCTACAAAGACAATATGAGACAGGTGGGTATATTTATTAAGCTTGGAAAAGAGCTGCTTAGCAAAATACCCCTACATATATTCACTATGGGAAACTTCGCCAGTCTGTTGTGTAGATTTATTATTTATTACAAAAGTCCTACTTAATTCAGCATTTACTAATTGGATCAGTCCACTCTCAATTCAGAACTGATCAAAATGGTTTTATAATGAGACATATTTTTACATCTGTTCTTTCTTTTAATTAAGTTAGCTGTTATGCTTAATCAAATGCTTTACTAGACAATGTTTGTTTTTCAGGATGGAAAGAAGAAATTTGACAAGGAAAGTGAGAAATATTACTCTATCCTAGAGAAGCACTTAAATTTATCAGCAAAGAAGAAGGAATCTCATTTGCAAGATGTAAGTTCTTAGAATTACAGACTGGGTCCTTGATGATCATCTATTATCTGTTTCATTACTCAGTTTCCAGACTGCATGGAGATCATGATAATAGACATGCTGTATTTTATTTATATGAAGTGTGATGTTTTCTTGTAGTTATTCTCAGTGTGAATATAAATTCCTGAGTGAGATTAATATGGTTTTCATAACAGTTAAATATTTTAATAAGGAAATATTCTACGTGTCCAACTCTCTGTACCTTAAATTGCAAAACTAATGTTTATTGGTTGCAGCAACATATATGATTTATATTACTACAATAAAACTGTGACTTTTATATTATAAAGTATATGTGGAGTACTTGAAATTCAAAAAATGAATTGCTCTTTTTGCTATTTGGTTTATTACTCAATGCAATTATGTTTCTATTTCACATAAATTTTAAACTGAAATGATTGTAATGATGCTTTTAATGCTTCTTTTTATTTTTTTTCACCTTATTCTGAGATTGCAGCATGTTTTGAAATGGTATCCATAACTTCATCTTTAAAGAGTCTGTATGCCTAATTCTTACCTTTAAAAAGAAAGAGAGAAAGAGAGAAAGGAAAGAGAGAAAGAAAGGAAAGAAAGAAAAGAGAAAGAAAGAAAGAGAGAAAGAAAGATAGAAAGAAAGAAAGATAGAAAGATGTGAAGACTTCTAATCTAGTAGGAGGATTCCAGGGTTTTTCTGTATCCTGGCAGAAATAATTATGATTTGCGTTTGAGTCAAATTGCACTAAAAAAAATGCCAATTTGATCTCTCTTTTTTCTTTTCTCCAAGAGTACTTAATGTTATTTTGATGGGATTACCTATATCATGGTGACTCTTCATCCTGAGGATACTTTTGCTGATGGAGTTTTCACAGAATGTGTGACTGTCATACACTCACAAAATATAGATTTCTTTCATGTTTGCCAGTTACTCTGTAATTTGAATTAAATGAAGTGTAGTGATTAAAAATTTCTAATAATGTTTATAATCCTGAATTGCCATAGCTGTGTATGTAATTATCAGCTTACATTGGACACTATCTATATGGGATTGGTTAATTGTTCCATTCATTTATCAAAGATTTGTATATATAGCTTTCACTTTTCCTAAGTATTCTGTGTATTGATAAAGAAACAGTTGTTAGAGTGTAAACAGCACCAGAGAAAAATACAGTTTGTTACCAAAATGTGGAGAAGTGAACTTAAGCACTGCTTTACTCTAAATAAATAAAATATTTTGCTCTTGAGACATCAGAATGATTGCATTCTAAAAACAGAAACTAAAGTGAAAAGTAGCAACTCTGAATCTAATAAACTGTGATAGAATAACAATGGATTTGGCTCAAATATGTAAACTAGTGGAAAAACCAGGGTAAATTTTTCCACTAAGTCCCTAAGTGACATCTCAGGATTTAAAATTTTGTACAGAGGCTGTTGGCTTTTGCTTTTCTGGATACCCCACTTGTAAAGCTCGTAGGACATAGCTTGTCATTTCTATCTCCTTCATTTTTATGCATATGTGTGTTGAATCAGCAACACAGACCTCCCACGTGCAGAAGACACCATACGAAATCTGTAGAATCATAGAATCACCAAGGTTGGAAAAGGCCACTATTGTCACCTAGTACAAATATCGACCCATCCCTACCATGTCCACTAATCACGTTCTTCTGTGCCACATCTCCACATTTGTTGAAAACCTCCAGGGATGGTGACTCTACCACTTTCCTAGGTAGACTGTGCCAATGCCTCACCACTCCTTCACAGTAAATTTTTTTTCCTGATACCCAAACTGAAATCTCCCCTGGCACAAATTAAGGCAATTGCCTCTTATCCTATCTCTAGTTACGGGGAAGAAGAGACCAACCCCCACCTCACCTCTCCAGAACTTCCTAAAACATATAGTTGTGGGATCTCCTTGTTGACCAAAGAGATGTTTTGACTGTACCCATATCATAAATAAAATGTCAAGCACCGGTTCCTGGCCCAAAAGCCGATGCCTGTTGACTCACAGACTGAGTATTATCACACCAAAAGTACTTCTTGTTAGCCTACTGCTCATTTTAATTGCTGATTTCTTGATACCTCATCACATTATGTGGGTTGGTGGGTGGAGGGATAGGAAGGGCATAGTTCTGCTGTTTTAGGCTATTTTACATCTCTCAATCAGGTGCTGGTGAGAGCACCATAATTAAGCACCTGAAATTCGATGGTTCGAACATAGTCTTTAGAGAGTGGTTTGCATATGTTCATGTAATTGAAATGTGCTGGATATTTTGAAAACCTAGAGGACTGTTGACACAGTTCATCTGGATGATTAGTATTTTTTTTTCCTTAGCATCAGAAAGCAGCTCCAAAGTACTGCCTTTTTGATGCTGTCACACAGAGCAGAGCTCAGCGCTGCCCTCCGCTCCCTGTGAGGAGCTGCAGCCGCCATTAGGCCTCCCTTCAGCCTGCTCTGCTCTGGGCTGAGGATACCAGGGGACCTCAGCCTCTTCCCCTCTGGATACTTCACTGTCTCTGTAGCCCTCATTTAGTACCTGTACAGCCGTGGTGTTTATGGTCTTAATGTAGGAACCCATCCATATTTGAGATAGCCTTGAGTTATCATAAGTACTGGTACAGTCTGCTAAAATGCTGTTCAGAATAGAGATTGACTTAATTGGGTCTTTAAACACTATTGTGTTGAATAGCTCACTGCTGAAACCAAATTACATTTCTTTAAAATTAAATATGAAAACTGAAAGCTGTCTGAAGTGCTGCTCGAGTGCACTTGTATGAGTCAGGATCCTGCCCCAAAGTAGTAGCAACTGGTTCTGTGGGTGTCTATAGTGTTACTTTCGTAACATTTTTTGTGAATTAAAACTATTAACACAGAGTGCGAAAGAAAACAGTAGCTGAAAGCACTATACAAATGGCATGTGACAGTTACTTTTGTGGTAAAGCTCTCAATTCTTACAATGTTGAGTGTTTGATTAATGTTTCATAATATCAGTATTTTTAATCCATTTCCTGATTTCTTTCTATAGACATGGAAAGGGAATGCTGGTACTGAATGACTTGAAAGATATTGTTGAAGCCCTAGATTACTACCTTGTTTTCTACTTTGAAAATCTTTGAAAATGCCAGGGACAGAGATTCCTACTTCTGCCTTTCTTTCTTTCCTTTCAACCTCTCCTCAAAAGTAGAATATAGAAGTGCAAAGGAAAGAGGAAAACAAAAAACACCATGGAAATGACATGAGATAAAGCTGAATAATATTTCTTCCGTAACTTGCATTTATCTATTTTAAGTAGGCATTTTATTTTTCAGGGAAAATTGAAAACCGTCAGGGAAAATTGAAAATTGTAAAGTAATCTTATGAAAGATCTGTTTACAAACAACAAAATAAGGTTTTAAAGCAATCATAAGAGAGTAAACATATTATATTTCATCTTGTCTTTTAGGCAGATACACAGATTGACAGAGAGCATCAAAACTTTTATGAAGCATCATTGGAATATGTTTTTAAAATTCAAGAAGTACAAGAGAAAAAGAAATTTGAATTTGTTGAACCTGTAAGTTTATGTTTTATTCTTTCTGAATTTACAATGCATATATTTATATAAAATAAATATTTCTCTCTCTTTTAAAATTGTGATTACAGTGCATTTGCATACAGGCAGGCATTGAAATCTTGGCTTCAGAATTTCCATGGTTATTAAAGGTTTATGTAAGAGTATCATAAATACTGTGAAGTGAAATGCCAGATGGCTTGGAGCATGCATAACGTTTTAATGGGACAACATGTGATGTTTTATCTGTGCATCATATACTGGGTATTTCCCAATATCATGGTTTCATGTCTGAAATTCTGAGATAGCTTTTGGATTTAAATATTCCCTATAGGCAGTATATACATATGTTCTTCTAATTTAGACATGAAATAATATGAAAAATTAGTTCTTCTGTAGGACAGGTGCACATATTTCTTGTTGATGGAGTCATTTACCTTCAGTCTACTGTGTATAAAAAGAAAACATGCTTTGACATGCCAAAAAAAGGAAGATGAAATTGTACTCTACGGTCCTTATATAGATCTGGGATTTTACATCTGGGATTTCCTCTTGGACCACATCACAGCCTTGAGATACCTGCTGGGACAGTCAGGACCAGAAGCTGTTCAGTGTGATGTGCTAGCATATCTCTGTAGCATATTAGTAGTAATCATACTGTTCATGTCTTGTGGGACTAACTTACCACTTGCCTTAGTTAGCACCTGTAGCCATTGACAGACAGCTTCCAATGTCATCTGTCCCTTCCTGTTATGCATACTGAGCAGAGCAGATAATCTTTTGTGAAGGAGGAACGTGCAAGCATAACTTTTCCTTCCAGCTTCCTTCTAACTATCCAAAGATGCACTTCTGACTGAAACAGGTTGAATTGTATCCCTAAGACTCAGTGTCATCAAGAAGAGCTCCTCAGATGCCTTCTTTCTAAGAGATGAGAATGTAGTGTATATTGAATGTTTGGCATTGATGCAAGCTAATGAAACTGATTTCAGCTTGCAGTACTGACAGAAATCCTCTCTTCATGGCATGCAGCTGCCAAGTCTTTGAGACTAAAACTTTGCTTGGATTGCTAAATAAGAACATTTTTCTACCTGTCACAAATTAATCCAGACAGTTTCTCTCTGTCTCCTGTAAAACTCTCACATCTTGGAAAATCCAAGCAATCCTAACCTAGTTCTGACCCTAGTATAAAGACTTTATGCTCTTTTAAAGTAATAGAATCTTCCTATGTTGAAAAGAAACTGTACGTCAGAAAATACTGTTGTGCAATTTCATGTAGTTAAAATAGGGCATATTTCACCCTGTGTGCGAAAAATAAATTTAATTATGTACATTATAGTTTGAAATATTGAGCTTTATCCTTTTGACCAGGAGTTGTCTGCATGCTTTGTCAGCCACCACAGCAGCAGCTATGAATCATCAAAATGAAGAAATTACTTATTGGTACACGAGAGCTGATACTGAGCAGGCAAACAGGGGAGGTTGATAGTAGATTCCGTGTTGTGGAACTAGGGACTTTTTCTCACCAGATTTACACATCCAGTAAAGAAAATTTACTTGGAGTGGATCAGTTAGTCTTCTGTGTCAGATCAGTGGGCTGCTCAGTGTAGTGGGCTATTTGCTGCATAAAGTCCATTACTGGATGTTCCAGATGAAGGTACAGGAAATACTGTGCAAACTGGGTACTGATAGCCTTTTCAGGAAATATCTTCTGGCTACAGGTGTGTTTTTTTTATAATCAAACTGAATATAAATAGTGGTTAAGTTGTAATATCAGTCAAAATTTTGAACCTTCAGAATTCCGTTTTTTTTTCTTTTATTTCTAGTCTGTTTCGTACAACATCTTGGAATAAAAGCATTTACTAAAATCCATAAGGCAAAGTTTGTCAAGTGAAATATAATGGGACAAAAGAAAAAAAAAAAAAGGCTTAAAAATACGCTTTTTACAATGCCTGGATTATGTAAGTGACATATGAGCATTTGCTCCTAGATGCAAGTAAATAAATATAAAGCTTAACATTTTAAAATCAGGTACGAAAAAAATTACTACATTACTCATCTTTTGTGTGCTCTAAAGATGTTCAGATGCTGCAAAAAGCCTAGTTTCTGTACGTATATTCCTCCTCGTGAGTTCTGCTGTTTGTGGCAAGGCAAAGGATCTGGGAATATTAGCTGACAATCGTCTGAACATGAGCCAGAGGTGTGTCCAAGAAGACTGATGGCATCCTGGCTTGTATCAGAAACAGTGCATTCAGCAGGAGCAGGGAGGTGATTGTCTTTCTGCACTCAGTTCTGTTGAGGCTGGAAGGTGATCCTTCCAACTTCTTCAATTTGTCTGTACCAGAAGATGAAAATACACTGGGAAGCAGAGTGGGAGAAGCAGGGTGGCAAAAACTGACAGGTGGGTTAACCTAGAACAGTAGAACTGGTAACAGTGCAGAACTTTTCTTCCTGGAGTACAGTGGGGAGGGACTGTGAGACACAAGGTGGTAATGTTTCACTGATTTTTACATGGGTAAGTAGCTATAGCACAAGAAGAAATGGTTTAAAACTAAAAGAGAGGAAAGGTTCTAACACAGACTGCCCATAGAAGCAGTGAATGTCCCATCTCTAGAGGTATTCAAGGCCAGGTTGGATAGGGCCTTGGGCAGCCTTATCCCTATGACAAGGGATTGGAACTGGATGATCTTTAAGGTCCCTTCCAACTCAAGCCAATCTGTGATTTTATGAAGAGATAGCTTCTCTTTGTAATTCTCCTAGGTTTTGGACTTTTCAAGGAAAAATAATAAGCTTTTCATACAGATCATGAATTACATTGTTTCTATCTCAAAACTAAATCAGTGTTAAAGTTTACCTCGCAGCAAGTTAAAAAATAAAAAAGTGACAGTAATCTCTGCTCCTAGCTTTGCCTATGTGGGCCCAGAGCAGCTTGCCAGAAATAGTGCAGCTTCATGAGATTGCTGCACTCATTAAGAGTGAACCTCCTGCTCAGAGCTCTGCTCTGTTCTGTGATAACTGCAAGACCTCACTGGCCTGGAGGAATCAGGGCACAGAATTCATAAGCAGTACGTAATCTGAAATGAGGGGTGGTCCATTAGCTGTCACAGAAACACAAAAGTGTATGTTTAAAGGAAAAGAACAACTTTGTATAATTGCAGGCAGTTTCATGAGACTTCGATTCTAGTCTGAAGAGATTGGATGTTAAACTTAATTTCCCCTTTCTTGGATTTTCTACATTACTAACTATATTCATTTTAATCTGATAGAGAAGCACCTAATGAAGCTATCTATTTATAAATAAAATGAAACTCAGGAGACAGGGACTTCTGGCTGATGTGCTGCAGGCCAAAGGTTAAATTCCTCTCCTATCCGAAACCTAAGCACAGTCTCCTTCCTGTGAGAATGAAATGACCAGGCAGTCTTGAGGTCAGCGGCTCTACATAAAAATAAATAAAGTCTCAAGAAGTAGCTGGATTTTGTTTCAGGTTCTGTGTTGAAATCCTGGAAGCCCTTGAATAGTGAGTAGCGTGTTACTGAGCTCAGGCCTCAGTTTTTGTTTACGCGACTGATTAGGTACTCAGAACGAGGTAACTGTAAGGTATGTGTTACCTTTCAAACTGATGATGTGAACGTTCCATGTGATGGTTGGTGTAACAAGTCACCTCTTAACATGTGAAGACCACCTTGAAATAAACTGGGGGAAAAAATGCAAAGAGCTGATTTTTTTCCATCATCTAAAATAAATACTTTTAAAATTATAAGTGTGGACTTAACAACGGTGTCTCTGGTAACATCAGCAGCAAGAAAACCCCACTGTGACCATAAGCCTGGGGCAGAAGTGCTTGGCTTTTAGATCTCCTCTGTGCAGTGCTATGCTGATGCCTGGGCTGATGGAAGTGGTTAGGATAATGCCTCAAAGCACAGGCCTGCTGGGTGCTTTTTGTTCCCCCTGTCCACATACATCTGTAGAAGCAAATGCCATTCTCAGTATCAGTTGTTTCAACAGAACTAGAACAAAATAGAATTGGATTTGCATATGACAAGCACATTTTTTCTTTTATTATTCCTTTTTTTTCTTTTTTTCTGTGCAATCAAAGATTATTTGACCAGGAGATTCTCAAGTCCAGGTGCTCTGCGAGAGACAACTGCCAGAATGCCTGAACAAGACTTAAAATGTATTCAAACTTCCCTTTTTTTTTTTTTTTTTTTCCCCGTTTTCATTTTGCTATTTTTTTTCTTTCCAATAAATTCAGCTTTGCTGCCATCTAGTGTTAAATCTTTTTGTCCCCAGTGTTTCTTCATGCTTCTTCAACGTTGAAGCCGTTTGTATAATGGAAGCTGGTTTTCTTTCAGTATTCAAGCTGAAATTTAAATAGTTTATAGCTGTGTTCTTCAGAAATACCCTTTAAATTGATCTTTACAATTTATACGTAACCTGGCATACTGCATCTTTCTACCACGAGATCTTTTGGTGAAATTTTGTTGTGCTTTAATGTTCTGCTCTGGCTACAGTTTTGCTGGGAGCTTACAGTATTCCTGTAATACTTCTTAAACCAAAAAGGCAAGGTTGATCAGTAGATTCCTGCTTACACATAAGTTAATCCTCTTTATTTTTATTTAAACAAGGTAGAGTATGCACAGGAGTAGTTATGCAGCTATAGGAGCTCTATTTGGGGATGGAGATGAATAACTGGATCTGGACTGTAGGCTGGGCTTTAGTTATAATTTGCTATTTCTTTTAAATTTTATTCATAAGAAAAGGAAAATTGATTTTTTTTGAAGAGTTGGAATAATGTTTTAAACCTTAAAATTATGGAAATTTATATAGCTGTTCACATAATTGGAGCTTTTTAGGATAAATAGTCATTTGGGTCTTCTTTGGAATCCATTAAATAACCAATAAGAAGCTTTAAGATCCAAGTCTTTGGCTGAGATAATGATTTTAAGTGGGCAGGTGGAAATTACAAGCTAAGATAATTTACACAAGCTGTGAAATACTTTGCTAGATTGTCTTCATTGTTTGTTAGTGGGATGTGGTTCACATCCATTGTAGAGAACCCTTGGCTTTTATACTCAAGGATTTTCTCAGCTCCTTAGGCTCTGTGACTGTTACTGCTTACCCCTGGATAACCAGGAGATTTCTGTCTGATGTCATGACTGTATTTGATCCTGCAATACCAGTAAAAAACAAGAGAGAAGTCCCAGTCACGTGTTCACATTTTTATTTCTGGCTGCATCGATGGTGTATAAAGCTGAAGCTGATTTAACTTGTGGCAGCTGATTTAACATGTGGCAGAACTCACTTTCTGTGTCAGAAATGTTCTTTGAAGATCTCCATGATACCAGGGCACAAGGATGTGAGGTATGCATGACATCATATTTGTTCCTCTGCCTAGAGAGCTATGTCCTTCACCTCTCATCTGTCAAACTGTGGTAGTTTCCAGAGTGTGGAAGCAGGGACTGGTAGCCTCAGAGGAATACAGAGGCACTGTCTGAGCAACTAGGGATGAAGTTTGGAATAGTAAAGCCCATACAAAACTTTATCTGGCCAAGGACATCATGGATAATAAGGGCTTCTGCAAATGTCTCAATGACAAAAGGAAGACGAGGGAAAATGAAAGTCTTCTCCTTAATGAAACAGAAGACATGGTTACCTCGGACAGTGAAAAGACCAAGGTACCGAATACTTTCTTTGCTTCAATCCTTACCAGCAAGACCAGCTTTCAGGAACCCCAGGTCCCAGAGGCCAGGCTGAATGGCCAGGGAAAGAAAAATGAACATTTGATAGAAGAGGATCAAGTCAGGGAATACAAGAGCGAACTGAAAATTTGCAAGTCTGTAGGCCCTGCTAGGATGCAGCCAGAAATGCTCAGTGAGCTGGTAATTATGATGGTGAAGCTACTCTGTAATCTCAGCTTGAAGATGATGGCAACTGGGAGAAGTGCCCAAAGTCTGGAAGAAAGCAAATGTCACTCTCAAGACAAGCAAGAAGGAGGACCCTCACCTCTATCCTTGAAAGGGGATGGCATCCTGCAAATCATTTCAAGGCACATGAAGGAGAAGACAATCATTGGATGTAGTCAGCATGGATTCACCAAGAGGAAGTCATGCCTGACCAACTCATAAACTTCTATAATAAAATCAGCAGGCTGATAGATGAGAGAGGAACACTATGTATCATATTCCTGGGCTTCAGTAAGACCTTTGACTCTGTCCACTGTAAGATCTTACAGAGATGCTGTTGAAGTATGGGCTGAATGTGCAGATAGTGGGGATGGTTGAAAACTTGCTGAACGACTGAGCCCAGAGTGTAATCATCAGTGGTGCAAAGACTGGTTGGAGGTCATTAATGAGCAGAGTGCCCCAGCAGTCAGTACTGTCCAGTCAGCAGTCCAGTCCTGTTTAATATCTTCACTAATGATTTGGATGATTGAATAGAGCGTACCATCAGTAAACTCATAGATGACCTGAAACTGGAGGGAGTGATGGATACAGTAGATTGTCATAATGCCATCCAGAAGAATCTTGAAAGGGTGGAGAACTGGACTGACAAGAATCTCTTTAATATTGACAAGCAGAAGTTTAGAGTAGTCCTGCAGCTGAGGAGGATCAACAGAACATACTGGGAATATCCATTTGGAAAGTTTTAAGTTAAAACTTAATAGATGGTAGAAATGTATTAACTAATGCTAAAAGTCTTCGGAAAATATAGTTGTATTTTTTTATAACTTAAACATTATTTTAGAACAAACTTCAAAAAGAATATTCCTCTGGATCATATGGGCTTCAGCTGGTCTGTTGGAGTCAGTCACAGACACACCAGATAGAGCTCACATCTTGGTCTCAGCTGGAAGAAATAGTCTGGAGTTCTTGTGTTGTATTAAGCTGCCCAAAACTTACTTTCAAGAGTCTCATTTTGGAAAATAGGTCATGGCCCACATAATTACTACGAAGAAAGTGAAAAAAAAAATTCTAAGATAAAAAAAAAAGTATCGATCTCTGATAGTATGAAGTTGGAAAGTGCACACCATCAGCTGAAATATTAGACAAAATAGACTGGGACTGTGAATTAAATTATTATAAAAATGACAGTTTCATGAGGCAAAAGCCTTTTAACACCTCTTTTTTCTTAAGATCTGACCACAGGTTTCTTGCTCAGCAAAGCAATACCATTGCAAGTAATGAAATCTCAGAGTGTTCCAGGAGTTAAGAGGCAGGATGTTTTTGCTGAAGGCTTGCAGTGTTTTCCTGATGAAAACAAATGGAAAATCAGCTGTTCTTAGTTTTTGCTTTCTAATACTTAGCTGAATACATGAAGTGCGTAGCAGCTAAGACCAATTCTTTACTATTGTAGTCAATGTCTATTTCTTATTTACAAGTTAGTATACATTCTGTTATCTTCATGTTATTTAAAGTATTAAGAGTGCATGTTAAAATCAGTAATGCTTTTCAATTTTGCCTTTCCAGCTTTTGGCCTTTCTTCAAGGATTATTTACATTTTACCATGAAGGATATGAACTGGCTCAGGAGTTTGCACCATACAAGCAGCAGCTTCAATTCAATTTGCAGAATGTAAGAATAATGTGTACTTTGCTTTGTAAACTAATTTGGAGATACTAAAGTAGCCTTGTAGTACTTTATGGAAGCTCTACATCCTAGAAGGTATTAGTGAGCTGAAATCAAATTGAAGTGTGAATACATATAAATTATTTTTAAAGCTGCCAGAAAGAACTTTGGAAATGTAATGTAATATTCATGTAGTTAATTTGTGATTTGCAAATCAGAGTTGTGGGAGTTAGAGCCAGAAGAGCAGAACAGCAGCCAAGTTTGATTAAGAACACAGTAGTTTACATATGCTTAAATGTGTGTTTTCTTGAGAGCGGGGCCTATCTTCTGAAATAAGTGGATCAAAGAGCTCCAGCAGGTACAGAATGCTGCAGTTTATTTTTTTAAGATCACAGATTGCCAGTACCTGAAGGGGGCTTATAGGAAAGCTGAAAAGGGACTTTTTCTAAGGCTGTGTTTCCCCTGTGGCTCCTTCTCTTTTGTGTCCATTGTTCACATACAGATACAGATTTCATTTAAAATGCTTCTTGGGAAAATCAGGCAAAAGCTCCTGTTTGATCATACTTTTCTTCTGGGATCAAAATGCAAGTGTTCTCTGTCTGTAGACCCTCCTAGACTATTCTGTCAAGTTTTGCATTTGTTAATTGTTGTTTTTCTGTTGAGACTCTTTTAGATGAAGGCACAAGGGGTCACTGTTGTTGCATAGCACAGTTTCAGTGGAAGGATGAAAATTGGGTTCAGTCCAGAGGCTGATTGAAGTACCAGCAAGGCACATGAATCCAGAGCACAGGCCAAAAGTAGCTTTGTAAGTCTTAGTTTGCTCTATGCATGGATCAGTAGAAACAGAATTATTAAAGGATTTCCTAAATTTCTATGTTAATTAGGAAATAGGTAAATACATTCTTTGTTAAGCAGTACTTAAGCACAGCTTGACTATGTAAATAGACTGCAGAGGTAATGATGGATGCAATGTTGTGCAGAAGGATCAACATAAAATACTTTTAATTATATTTTTATGTCAGACAAACATATATATATGTAGTGCAACAGAGAAGTTTGGAGTCTGGCTGTGGATCTAAATTCTCATCTGCTTTTATTCAGATGAGATATCGGTTGACCTGTCACCCAGAGCAACACCCAAACTGAGAATGAGATGAAATACAGGGAAAGATGAGCTGAGGATAATCCTCAGGGACAGTTGTGTTCAGGCTGTCAGTTGTAGTTGTCAGAGGTTCTCCTCTCTATTGCACTGGGTTTTAAGGGCTCACAGTATTGCAGAATTGTTGATCTGATCTTCTGCTTCTGTTCTTAAAACTTTCCTACAGGTCAAAGTATCAGCAGTAAATGCTGTAGGAGTAGCAAAGAAGTGACAGACCCTCAGCTCTTAAAAGGTCCCTGTGTCTTAACACAGCCCGGTGTCACTTCTAATGTGTCAGCAGACCAATGGCTTACTTCAGATGTCAGCTGGGCTTTGTTTTCTGTAACTTCATATAAAGGCCTGGTTGCTTAAAAGAAAAATTAGAACCTTAATAGACAAACGGGGATGCACTCTTAGTATAGAAAAATCCCTCCATTCAGTAGCACAGCATCTGACCTAAAGCCTCTTGAAGGGCTCAAAATGACCTCTGTTAAATTTGGTCTGAAGTTCTGTTCTTGACCCCAAAAATATCATTGGCAAGGTTCAAAGCTGAATTTTAGCTCCCCTTCTGTTTAATAATTAATTAAATTATGTCTGTCTTCAAGGGAAAGATTTAACATGCCTTATTACGCTGTAGTGAAAATCCATGAATGCCAGCTAAATGGGAAAGTATTTACCACTGTATAAAGTCCAGACAATATTTTTCTGTCTAGCTGAGATTAGATTCCATAATATATTTTTTTCAAAGTGGCCTTACAAAAACATTGCAATAATCTTTATTTTACTGCCTATAGGAACAAAGTGTTCAACACCTGGTATGTCAGTAGCAATCTGTCAAACCTCTGGCACTCATAATAATTCTTCTTTTTCCTACACTGTGTTAGCTGTGTGGAGGGAAACCTTGATCCCACTGAATTCAGAAAAAATGCTCAGGTACATGCATACAGGCATTGGCAAATATGAATTACCCACCTTTGTACTTAATTATTCTTCTGGCCAGCAGCTGTCTTGTTAAGGCACATGATTTTTACAGAATCACAGAATTGCCAGGGTTGGAAGGGACCTCAAGGATCATGAATCTCCAACCCCCCTGCCACATGCAGGGCCACCAACCATTCCACCTAATGCTAGACCAGACTGCCCAGGGCCCCATCCAATCTGGCCTTGAACACCTCCAGGGACGGGGCATCCACAACCTCCCTGGGCAGCCTGTTCCAGCACCTCACCACTCTCTCCGTAAAGAATTTCCCCCTGACGTCCAAAATTTTTAGGGCAGACGCAGGATTTGTTTCCGTGATTTTGGAACACTTCTGCTACTTGTGATCTAGTTGTTGCCTAACGTAATTAAATCTCAACTGTGGTGTTTGTGGAGTCCTGGCAAAAAACAATTGTAACCATGCTCTGACTACTTTGAGTGTCAGCATACATAGTGTTACTGTGGGTATGGACACAGGTCTCTGAACCATACTGCTTCCATGTGTGGAGAGACCACAGGTGTCTGGAGACTTTACCCTGGAATAAACCCAAACCATTGTATTCTGCACTTGTTTTAGTGGTTCAGTGGGGCTTATTGGATCAAGTTTGAGGTTATGCTATCAGTACCTTCTAGTTTAGCTGTTTAGCCTGGATCCTGTCTGCATATTCTGGAGTACACACAGAAGAAGAATACATCTGTCTGCAGAATACTGTGTAAGCATACCTGAAAATGTGAGGTGGCATTGTTTCTGTGGTTAGTGACCTGCAGATTTGTGTGCTTAAATTTAGTTCTCTTTTACTGTGTTATTCCCAGGCTTCTGGAGCAAGAAACTATAATTCTGGTATTCATTTCCCTTTTATGTCTACTGCAGATGCTTCTGTTGGTCTCTTTTTGATGCAGTCTTGCTCCTTTGCATTACGAGTTCTTCATTTAATTATCATTTTTGTACTTACATGAGGTAACGTGTTGATTTGTTTGTTTGTTTGTTTGTTTGTTTGGGGATCTTAGACCCGGAATAACTTTGAGAGCACGAGGCAGGAAGTGGAGAGACTCATGCAAAGAATGAAGTCAGCCAACCAAGATTACAGACCACCAAGTCAATGGACAATGGAAGGCTATCTCTATGTGCAGGAAAAAAGTGAGTAAAGGAGATGTACCTTTTCATTGGATTTGAAAGACACAGCAAAAATTAGAAGGATGAGAAAATGGTTTAGCTAGCAGAATAAAACAAAAGCTCTATTTTTGAATGTCCAAAGACTTTTCTTATTATTGCTTCTCTAAAGATGGAAAATTTCTAAAGAAAAATAAATGTGTGACTCTTCAAAATGCACTCAAAGTGACCAAGGCCAGAGAGAACAATGAGTGAAAACACATGTAAGCTCCTTGTTCTGCATATTGTGAGTAGGATGCTGCTTGGGTAGGACCCTTGTGGGTGGTCCCTTGTGTCTCCCCTCAGTAACAAATTCATCAGTTTGTTTAGACTGTGCTCCGGATGTCTGCCTTTCTCCTTGCTGCAGAAGCTGTAAGCACTAAGGTCTCTACCAAACACTGCTGTGTCTTGACCTTTCTCTGCCTGAACAAGTTCCACAGTTCACAGGAACAACCTCCACTTATTTTAGCTGTGGGCTCTACTGATTCAGCCACCTTAACGAACATGCACACAATGGAATAAAAAGGTGGAAGGTGGAAGAAGAAGAAAAGTTATCTACTTACAGTCTGCCATAATTTTAAAATAGTTGTCAATTTGTACCTAATTATTATTCATGCAATGAGACATAAGAATGAAACAAATTCCAAAAAATATGATGGAATAGAACTGTCATCTATATCTGAGAATATTTGGGAGAGCCGATGATACATCATGTGATGAATGAAAACTGAGCCAGGAAATATGTGAAAAGTCAAAAGAGAGAATTCAAAGCTATATGTGATCAGAACTATCTGCTGTCACTGTTTTACGCTTTAGACAGTAGAGACCAAGCCAAATTAGCTACATTTGCCAAGGATCGTTGAAAACAGTAAAATAGTGTGGGTTAACCAGATTTATTTATTCTTTGTTATGGAATCCACCTGATGCTAGAAATGTATATAGCAGTGTTTTGAGATGGCATATATGTGCCATGCATGTTTAGTGTTCATTCAGAAATGATTAAATGCAACTTTGCACCTGATTTCTCAGTCTAAAAATAAATAGAAGGCATTCTGATGCAGGATTCCCATGTTAGACTTGGCCCCACTCAACGTCAGTTTTGAGAATATCTCCTTCTCCTTTACTGTTTCTTCTTTAGACAGTAAGTCAAGAGACTACATGGAATTATAGTTGATTGATTTTCTAGATGACATCATGAAATCAATTTTTATTCCATTTTGTGAGCTAAAATAAAGAAACCCTGGTGCTTATAATAGTTAACCTCAGCCACTTTTGTCCTCAATAGTACTGAAAGCTTGAAGAAGACCCTCTGTGTTTTAATTGTGTAATAATGATAAAAGAAACCTGTATTAAGTGGAAATTGCACTGAGCTCTAATGGGGGAGGTAGAATAGGAGTGAAGCATTGGGCACACGCTGTGCTTCATTAAATAGTGAGAGGCCAACTTGACATCCTCTTACTGAAAAGATGTTTGTTCATTAGTGTATTCTGGAGTAAGGGTAAAAGGATCTGTAATCTGTGTGTCAATAAGGAAGATACTAGTTGTGTATTCTCTTGTCATGCAGGTTTATTTTCCTACAACCAGCATCCCATAGGCAAGAGACAAATTAAGAATAAATGACTTAAATGTTTGCTATTCCTGAAAGGAAAAGTAAATCCTGTATTATTACTAGTATTTGTGGTGGTAAATAGGTATTTTGAAAAAAAAAAAAAAAAAAAAAAAAAAAAAAAGGCCTTTAAGCTCTTTTATTTAGACGTACGGTTATGAGTAAAAAAATTGAAATTAAATGTAGGTGTTGGCCAGCTAAAAGGCAGATGACTTCTAAACTCATCTAAAACTTCTTCAAGATGACTCATCCTTCTAAAAGAATTAATGGTGCTATTTGGGGAATACTTGAATTAGATTTGTACATTTTCTATGCAAAAAAAAAGGAACAGAACAGCTGACAGAATTCTGAGGTTGGATTAACAAGTACCTGGTCAATTCATTGTGTTTCTTCCCTGCAGAGAGTTAGGGAGAATTTTCTCTGAGTTCTTATGATAGCCCCTGTAACACAGTTTGTTTCACCTCTGATTACCCATAAGCTGTGTCTAAAATACATCAGACTGTACTCTGCTACTGCAAAAACTTGCAGAAAATATCCAATTGTCTTTGCTATATTTCCTGCCCCCCAAAATCAGAAAGTCCAAGTTATCTTCTGACTTTCAGTTGCTCCCAGTACAGTTTCATGTACCAGTGCACATACAGCCATTATGTGCTGGACCAAAGGAGCAGCAGTCACACTGCAGAGGCTTAAATTATCCTGTCTTCTGCAGGGCAACACCCCTCTACATTTATGTGTAACAATTGGGGGGCTTATCTTGCTCTCAGTGCTACGTTAAGCAGTGAGGTTGTTTTGTTGGTATTTTTTTAGAAAAACATGGGAAGCTCTGGCAATACTAGGATGTGGAGAGAATTCTTGAAATGTGTCCTCACAGCAAAGAATTGTAATGCAGGCATTATGCAAGGCTGTATCTAATCTAGGTTAGCAGCCACTGTTTAAAATACCACTGAGCTTAAGTTCAAGAGTGTTTTCTGTTTATGTTCACTGAAGATTCATAGCCAGAGCAAAGCACTATGTAATCCAGGGTTGAAAAGATCTTCCACATCAGAAATCCTATATTTTGCAGTTGGACTAAGGAGAAATGTAGTGTGACCTCTCCAGGGTAAAGGATACATTCACTTATTTGGGGATCGTTCTAGATTTAACGTATGGATTTCAAAGTTTCTGAAGAACATTCTAGTATGATGCTTTTATTATGTATAATTGACAGTTTGTGAGTAGTATTGACCATATATTGTTTTTATTTTTAAAAGAATGGCTCTGTAGCCCTTTTCTGTGAGCATGACCTATTGTCTTATGATCAGCCTTCTTTTCAGACTCAGTGCTGTTGTTATACTCACCTCTTCCCTGTCAGAAAACCATTCCAAGGGATAAAAGGCCAGTGTTTCTTGCTGAAGGTGCCACCTCTGCTGTTCATTTTATCCCTCATCTCTAAACCACTATTGTGTTAGAGTGCACTGTTCTTTTTCTTCTTGTCTATTTCTATAATGAAATAATCTGCTAGTGTTCAACTGCATAAGATTAAATCTATGTCTGAGCCATTTTATTCTGCATCCAAAAGATAATAGGTAGAGGAGTTTGCTATAATGTTACCTGAAGTATTTGTTACCTTTGATGAGCACTCTGAAAGTGAAGAGAAATTTCATGATTTTGTCTAAATTTATGAGTCTAGTACTAGATTTAAGGTTTTCTTCAAAGAAAGAGTTCAGTACTGTACAGATGAATTTCCTAAGCAGAATAATCCTCAAGATATGCATTTTCTATTTCTCTGTCGTAACAGAATGCTGTTATCCATCTAGTTGCTAAAGAAAATCAATCAGCTGGAACATCAAGCTGAAATGTATGAAAATAAGACCTGAACATGTTCAAATTAAAAAATGAGGAGTTTTTGATTTTGTATGCTGCATGTGGACTTTTATGTTTTATCTCTCTACTGTACTGAACTCTGTCTGAAATCATGATTATATGTCAAAATAACTATTTCTTATATTGTCGTTTTAATCCAGGACCACTTGGATTTACGTGGATAAAACATTACTGCACTTACGATAAAGGAACAAAAACATTTACAATGAGTATAGCCGAAACTAAATCTGGTGGAAAAGTGGTGAGTTTACACAACCTCCAGCACGTGCATGAACTCTATATTCCATACTTTACATTAAGCATTCAGCAGATGTTACAATTAAAAAAAAATGGTGAAAAGAGTATTAAACTGCTTTCAAACATGAAGCAGTGTTTATTTTAGATAGATACATAATGTATTTAAATAAAAATATTCATTATATAACACATGAAATACATATTTAATAACTCCTCTAATATGGTGGTTCCAAATGCATAGGAAAGCAATCACAGTCATAGAATGGACGACATTTAAAAGAGAGTTCTGAAGGTTGTTTAGTTCAATCTCCATGCTCAGTGCATGTGCGGAACCAGAACAGATTGCTTAGGACCCCCTCCAGTCAGGTTTTAAATATCTTCATGAACTGAGACCCCTACAAACCAAACCTCTGCAGGCAACCTGTTTCAGTGCTCAAGCAGTCCCACAGTGAAAACGCTTTCCTTGCTTTTAAATGGAATTTCATATATTCGTTTTGGGGCCATTACCTTGTGCTTACACATGGCACCACTGAGAAGAATATGTCTCCATCTTCTTTAGTTCTTCCCACAGCTATTTGTAAGCAATGGGGAACTTCGCATTTGAACAGTCATAGTTGTCTCCAGCCTGTCCTCATTTGACAGGTGCTCCAAACCCATTTCAGTATGCTCATGTCTCTTGTACTGAACATCTCAGCACTGGACGCAGCACTCCAGATGATTCTCACCAGGGCTGAGCAAAGAGGAAAGTAGAATCACCTCCCTCAGTCTGCTGGCAACACTCTGCCTGATGCAACTCAAGGCTGTTAGCCTTCTGTGCTGCAACAGGACATCGGTTTATGGCCAGCTTGTTGCCACCAGAGTTTGAAGATAAAAGCCAGGCTGCTTTCCTGGTGCCTGGGCTTATTCCTTCCCCTCTGCTGGACCCATGTTGGACCTTATAAAATTCCTTTTAGCCCATTTCTCTAGCTTTTTGAGGTCCTTTTTACACCCATCTGATGTATCAACCATTCCTATAAAGGAATGTGAGCTAAATGTAGTCTTAATTTGTATGCGAAGAAATTATTGGAAAAGTTCATAAATATTTTAAGCTCTAATCTTAGAGAATGCTTTTGATACTGTTCATACAGTTGAATTTTAGATGTGTAGCCTATAACGATATATTGCCTGTACTAATTTTCTTTTGTTTTGTTTTGTAGAATGGCCTTGTCACAAGCTCACCAGAAATATTCAAGCTGAAATCTTGTATCAGGAGAAAGACAGACTCAATTGACAAACGCTTCTGTTTCGATATCGAAGTATTTGAGAGGTTTGAATTGTTTTCATTATGTTAACATAATAAAAGTAATGAAGAAATTAATTAAAAAAAAAAAAAAAAAAAAAAAAACAACCTGCTAATAATATATAATAATTGCACTTGTAGTAGGGACACAAGTCTGTCAGTATGCCCACATCTAGACGAGCCTAACCTGGCTTTCAAGACCTGGTGCTTACCTAGTGCTTACTTGTTCAAACCTGTTTTTCTAACAAAATAAGTTACATATGTATTGTCTTGAGTATGTTATGTTTGCATGCAGACAGAATATGGTTTCTTACAAAACTTGTGGCACAAGTTTTTTCTTTGTAAAAGTGTTTATTCTTTCAAGGTTAGGAATGTAGTGAGAAGTATTGAATGAAGCTTTCCCTTTACCTATGATGGAACATAATGCCTTTTCTAGACTTTCTCTAAGAAATATTTTAATATTTAAGTTTCCATACAAGGCTGTTGTTTAGCATGTTAATTATGAGGTTACATTTTGTACTTTTAAATATATTTTTATAAAACAGTCTTTTGAGTAAGTTAAGATTTTAGAAGCAGAAATGTTATGTGAGCTCATTCAGACAAATTGTATCTTGAAAGCTTGAAATGATAGCTTAAATTTAAAGTTAGTACTTTCTTTCTTCTTTTTAAGTAGAGTTGCATATGCATTGTGGTCATGTCATTGTAAAGTATTCGTAAATGGGTGTTGTCCCTTACGTATCCCCTACTCTATTAGAACAACCTATCTGCAGTTCTTTAAGTTCTCTACAGAAATCACTGTAGGCACTCTTCATGTATAGTTTTATTCCTCCTGTACAATTTGATTAATTTGAAATGTGAATGGCCTGTTAGTTAAAGGCCTTCCAGAAAGCAGGACAAAATATTGAAAGATAAGTAGAATGCAACATTTCTTAATCACTATTATGAGCATACACCTTTCATAAGTTGATAGAAAGTTGGCTCCTGCAGTTTGTTTGATATTCAGCAAGGAGGTAGTGAATTCTTGTGTGTCAGCAGAGGAGATGAAGCCCAGCCAAAAAAATACCTAGAAATATTTGGTGGGAGTTCATAAGCAAGGACAGTATTGATTTCTTCTGTATGTCGTGTTGGGTAAAGCTTGGTGTATTGTTTTTTTTTTTTTTTTGTCTGTGAAAATAAAAATACTGTGGTTTTTATTAAAGTTGACAATGACACAAAACGTGAGTAAAAACATATAAATATGGAAACAGTATTAAAATATTTTGATATTTCAAAAATATTGCATTAAAATAATTATAAGCTGAACTTAAAAATTCAAGATGCATATTGTTTAGACATCAGCTGCAAAGTACAGTGAACCTTTAACAATAATTGACATCTGCAAAATTTCCATAAGATTACAACTTTTTTTATTATTATTTATTTTTTTTCTGGGAAAGAGCTCTTTTTTGCAAATATGCAGCTACAGCAAATCTTTAAAATTCTAGCATAAGATTTCATGGGTAAATTTTGTCTCCAAGCACCAGACACTGCTAATTCTCTTTGTGCTATTGTATGAAACACTGTGTGAAACGTTACAATTCAAAAACATTGAAAAAACATGCAGACTGATGTTCATGTCTCATTTCAAAAAAGAGCCATATTAACTGAAAGAAACCATATGCACTGCTAATGGGGAAGACACAGCATGATCCTTGCTAATTAACAGAATTACTTTAAATCTAGTTTGGTATTTTTCACACCTATGTTCAGCTCAGATTTATTAGGAAAACTGTTCTAAAGAATAGTCAGCATCTGATTTGTATTAGAATTATATGCAAAGATAGCATCATAGAGTGAATGTTTCTCTTTGAATGTAATTTTATTTTTTGAGAAATAGTTTCTTTTTCACCCACCTGTATGACTGCAGCATATCTGATATACTTTCAGCTGATTTCAAGGAAATCACTGCAGTGAAGATCAGGATTTCAGATGAACAATTTAACAGTGTAATATTGAATTTTGTGAAGATATGTGCATAAGCACTGAATATACTTATTGTCATAGGCTTAGCAGTTTTGTGTAGATTTCTTTTGTGTTTATCTATATTTCAAATTATATCTACTTCTTCACATTCTAAGTAAATAGCATGCTGAGACCAGCAGGGCTTACAGTAGTAAAGGGCTGTTGCATCATTGTGTGCTGATGTGCATAACATCTTCTTTCACTGGACTGATAATAGATTTAATAATTAATAGAAAAATATTTTTTACTAAAAAATATTATAATATTGGTCTTTTTTTGTCACATATACATCTCACAGTAATATTAGTCTTTTGTGTTTAAGTTAGAGCTAAAGTTCAGAACTGTCTAGTCTTGATTATAAGAACAAGGCTCGCTTCCCCTTGAATGGTTTGGTGTATGTGTCAATACATATTTTGCTTTTTTGTATTTTCCAGTAGCTTCTTGCATGCTTTCTAGTTACAAGTTTAAAACTGAGGTCTTTTGGGGAAGATGGAAAAGGGTCATGGTTTATTGTTTATTTATTTTTATTCTGGAAGATGACAGATACAGTGTTCCTTATTTGTAAACCGTGTACCTACCTTAGAAAATTATGGTTCTGGACAGTGTGCTTTTGAGCAGAGATGCCAACATGCAGAGCAAACAAGTTTTTGAAATCTCTTAAGTTAAAAAATATATACCTGCATCACGGCAGTACTCAGCAAAATTGACTTCACTCCCTGTACCTTCTCTTTCTAGGCAACCCTAGATGACTTTAACTTCTTCCTATCTCTTTTATATATATTTTCATAACAATATCTGTTTAGATTTTGATTACTGTTTGAGAAGAAAAAGATTAGTAATTTCAGTGTATGTATATGTTTTTGACAGACCTGGAATCATCACACTACAAGCTTTTTCAGAATCCAACAGAAAACTGTGGCTCGAAGCTATGGATGGAAAGGAACCAGTAAGGATATTTGTCCTTTTCTTTTATCTTTATAGATATATAACATGTATGTTAAAGAAAGAAGCTAGATTTCAGATACAGAGTTAGTTACAGTACAGTACAATAAAGGCAAATACAGCTTTTCTGTTTCTCATAAAATACAGTTGCAAATGTGCAATGAAGATAGATACTGATTAGTGAAGCAGAACTAGTAGTATATTTAAACTTTTACTTATAAATTTTTGGGGCCTTGAGGTTCTTTTTTTTATATTTTTATATTTGGGTGATAGCCTGTTGTCATATAGTGTTTGTGGTTCAGAAAAAATTTGGGAAGTGGTGGTTTCTGCAGTTGTCACAACAAACCATCTCTGGGCAGCGTTGTGGAGTAGACAGTAAGTACCATTTGAAAATCACTGCAGAGAGCATAAAAATGTACTGAAAGCTACTAAGACAGGCTTATCTGAGATTTCTTCTCACTATTAATCAGTTCTGAAATTGTCACTGAATAAGGTGATGCCAGTGTGGCATCCAAGGGAGAAAAATGGTTGATAGATTTTATGAGATAAAAAAGTATTTTTACAAAGCTTATTGCTTGACTGAAAAAGTGCAGAAATGAAATCACTCTTTGTATTAATATTTAACCTATTTACAGTCTGCAAATCTAGCTTCTAATGTATTTTATGTGCCTGTAAATTCATTGCAAATCCCTAGGCAAACTATTATCTCAAGGCCTGAATAGGTTTTTGAGACATGTCCCACTGGCTGCCTGCCTTCTCTCTTGAGTGCAGAATAGAACAGCTGTGTATCTTAGGCAGAGCTGAGCTGTGCACTGTTGCCCTCTCCAACTGCTAACCTGAATGAGTGCTGCTGGAATTAAACATTGGGAGAAGGTGAAGAGTTTGGATGGTTTTTCCATAGCAGTGTATTACACTAATGTGCAACATATTACAGATGGTTAAGAACTATCAGCAAATCCAGCAGTAAATGACTTAACAAACGTTGACCTGTTGTATTTGTTGTTTTTTTCCAGATCTACACACTGCCAGCCATTATTAGCAAGAAGGAAGAAAGTAAGCACTTTAATAATGCGGAGATATGAAATATTTCCAGGTTTCTGTAATGGCTGGGTTTCTGGATGTGTGTCTGTGTGAGAGACATTATTTATGTTTCCATCAGTCTGAAGATACTATACAGTATCACTAAATGCTGTTTGATGGATTATGAAATTGGATTACATCAAAGCATATTCTAAATTACGTAGACTGTGAGAAAGCCTTCAACTTTTGTGTTACCAACAAACATAAATTGGAAGAAAAATTGATTGATCCTGAAATGACAATATATTTAACAAATCTGCAGCTTTCCAACTACAGTCTTTATACTTAAATGTAAATGCATGCCATGCCCATGTGTTGAAATATCATCTTTGCATGGGTCTTGCTTTTTCATTTATAGGTATATATACACCTATTAGGCACATTCAGTGTAATAACATGAGTGTATTTACAAATATTCAGACATATATCTATGTGCAGTTGTATTATGGTAACATATGTAAACAAATGCAAAAAGAAGTTTAAAATATGTTTGAGTATATAAAGTAGAGAAAGAGATGTGTCAGATATGCACAGGTATCTTTGACAAAGGTAAATTTGAGAACAGAAATCTAAAATTAAATGAGTATGTCTGTTTTGGGTTTTTTTTGCTTTTTTATTATGTTACTATTTTGATGATGACACATACACTGCTCCAAAATCTCTGTTTAGCCAATTAGAAGAATGAGCATCAGAGATCCAAGAATTAATGCATAATGCATTTACTTGAAATAATCTTAATAACAAAGATTGTTTTGCTTTGTTGCTATATTTTAGCAGTTATATGCACATGCAAGAAGCAAGAATGTTGTTGTATGAAAACCAGTGAAAATATTCTGGTCATTATGTTAAGTCCTGAATTCTTAAAACCATTTCCCTCAGCAGAGGGAAGAGAGTTCGGTAGTCTTGTAAAGCAGTGATCTTTAGACTCTGTGTGTGAAGTTACTGATTTCTAATAAAAGCAGTAGAATACTCTCATAGGCATGAGAAAGTTTTATTTTTATTGCTAAGTGTATACGTATATTATAGTCTAATAGAATAAGTATCATAATCTCGCAAATAAATGTGTATCAGTCTTTCTTGACTGAAATGTGATTATAGCTAAACATGGAGATTTTGTGTATTGATGAGTTGAAAAATTATTTTTCCTTCTCTTTCAGTGTTCTTAAATGAAGCAGGTTTCAACTTCGTGAGGAAATGTATCCATGCTGTAGAAACAAGAGGTAAGTATTAAATCACAAATGATATATTGGATTACTATGAATATTTTTCTCAAATAATTCTTTGAATCTATTATTTTAAAGTTCTGTTTTAGAGTATGTCCATCATTCAGTTTTCACCTTCCATGGATGTGCTTTATGCTTAAAACCGTTGCTACAAATTCCAGCAAAGGCTCTTTGCATATAATTTAAATGGGATTTTTCTTTGCTTGTTTTGATTTTTTGTTTTTGTTGTTTGTTTTTTTTTACATTGTAGTAGTTTTGTGTTATTTAGAAAGCTTAATACACTGTTACACACATACTTAGTTTAGGTCTTTTATTTGTGTGCAGTGAATTGTGCTTTTGATTTCTGGCATGAAACCTGAAGACCAAATGTACATGGTGTTAACACTGTTTGCTGGCAAATGTTTGTTGATGAACCTGATCCCCCATCATTTCACTTAATCATTCTACACATGACATATCCATAAAAAAAAAAAAAAAAAAAAAAAAAAAAAGTGTATAGAAACCAGTATTTGGTAGTGAGAATGTAGAAAAAGAAAGTAATTGTCTATTGATGAGGTGGTATCTTGTAACTCACAGTAAGCTGTTTGACAATTCCCTTTCAAACAGCTGTATGGTATTCCGTAAGCAGAAGTGACCTTTTCTTGTCTGTGCACTGAGCTCTCTGAATCCAAGTCTCTTCTAATCCAAAAGCTGTGGAAAATCACTCTGTGTAGCATTGAGCCCAGCATGATTTCTTCCTCTCAGGTAGCAGTGTTGTGTAGCTTTTGAATCACTCACAGCTTGCATTGCTCTGTAAAAAAATGATAAATAATAAAAATTAATAAAATAATATCACCTGCAGGTTGTCTAGCAGAGATCAGATGTTAGAGTATTGCTTTGAAATGAAAAATATACGATCTCAAAACAGTAAGACCAAAAGAAGGAAGAAGAATATATTCACATACCCACACTAATCTACAAATTAGGAGTTAAGTTTTGAATACATCCTGCTAGAAATATAAAGTTGGCACTTGTGATGTGGAATAAAGGAATAAACTCTTCCTGTTTTTGTTCTCTGAGTCACACAGCCAGAGTAAAGGAGCAGATTGTTTTTCTGTGTTTTTCCTGAGATGTTGATACAACAAAATATACAAGGGGTGGATGAGGAAAATATCAAAGTTTGCATTCTGCTTTGGATTTCCAAGTGCTGTTGATGTTTAAAAAAAAAAAAAAAAGTTAAAAACAGTGAAATTATTATGATTAGAATACTTTGAGTGTCACATCTTAGGCACTGTTTGTTAGTATCTATTGTGCTTTAGTGTTATTAAAAAATAGAAAACTGAAATCTGAAGATAAATTGAAACTGACTTCTTATTTTGCTTGGAGATCCATACATAACTTAAATTCTGAACTACAATGTTCCAGTAGAATACAATATAAGTTTTTATTTTGGGTAGAATCATTGTCTCTTCTATAAATGTTAACCAAGCTTGGTTGGAAGGGGCAATGTAGATACATAGTATTTCCACTGAAATCTGGATAGAAGGCATTTGTAGACATGTAACACATTTTAAGATTTCTTTGGAGTCTTGTTTTTCCCCTTTCCCAGTCATTCTCTGTATGTTTTCTGATACAGGTCATTCCAATGCAAGGTCTTCTGTTAATGTAGAATTGTGATTAGAGTATGGCATGGTGTGGATTCAGTGGAATGCATTTATTAGCATCCCAGAAGTAACTCAGTAGGGTGAAGCAGTACTTGATAATGTAATTTTTCAATTTTCCGTAAATAAATTGAGGTGGTTTGAAAACACAGACAAGAGGCAAGTGAGTGTAATTGAAATAGCCATCTTCTCATTGTTTTCACTGTTGTTTTCCCAATGTAGGCATTACCATCCTGGGACTGTACAGAATAGGTGGTGTAAACTCCAAAGTGCAAAAGCTGATGAATACCATATTTTGTAAGTGTCTTAAGTGTACCTTTGTCTATTGCATGTAGCACATATACCATGATCCTTTTCTGTTGTACCCAGAAGAGCATACTTAAATATCTACAGTTTCGTATGTCTGCTTGCTCCCACTAAACTGACTTTGCAGTGTTAGAATGGTAGTCAGTCTAACTAGATTCCTTGTGTACATTATTATTCAGTTTTCTAAATGGAGTCATCGATACACGTGAGCAAATTACTGATGAAACACATTTCTTCTTTTAGCATTTATATTATTTATTGGCATCTATCTGGTGTTTTCCAGAAGTGTTCCAAAGCTTAGTTTTGTAACACAGTTTAATAGACAGTTATTGTATTTCATATTTTTTGTTAGTCTGGCTATCTGATACCTGTCTTCCAATGTCTAAACCAGATGAATTATAAATTCTCTATTGACTTGGTGTTACTTTTACTCTTTGGTATAGTGCATACATTTACCATTTGCAGGTACTAAATATGAATACTGAATTATTTTTATTAATACTCTGGCAGAGATTAAAATAATTCATATTGATCAAATCTAACTGTTAAATAATCATATGAGCTAAATGAATAATCTTTTAGCTTCTATTTGCTGCTTTTCTTGTTTGTGTGTTAGTCAAAATATAACAATCCTAATTCAAATTTCTCCCAGCCCCTAAATCTCCTCCTGATATGGATATTGATATGGAGATCTGGGACAATAAAACAATAACTAGCGGACTTAAAAACTACCTCAGGTAAGTATGATGTTATGCATATCTCAGTATTCGTTTTATGGCTCATTAATCTTTTGCTTATAAACATGATATTATATTTCTTCTACTCATTAACATGGTATTAATTGAGTACATTATCATCTTGTCTAATATACTTATTAAAATGTGTAATAATCTAAAATTTGTCACACACTTTTCTGCCTTGTTTAGCTACAGATTTGCCAGAATATAATTAACTGCATGCTTTTATTTAAAATATTTTGTGTAAACTACAAAGCATGTTTTGCTGAGGTTTTTTTTTTCCTGAATCCCTTCTGCACAATGATTTTTCATGGCATTGTTGTTGGAGCAGAGTAAATCTCTTCAAAAAATATTAATACTCTGTTTTTATCCTGTGGTGTTGTTGTTTTCACAAGCAAGATATTCCTCTCACAATTTTCTCTTCAAATTTTTTGCTATTATGAGGCAGAATCTTAAAAAGTGATAGTACTTATAATAAAACTCTTTTGAATGTCAATATATAATGTTGAGAGTAAGCATAATAAAAACATAAAACTCAGATGGCGATTGTTCCATGCGTTCCTAAAAAAATGGATTTCTTAGACTGGTCACCTAGCAGAGGGCAGCATCAGAAATCCCTGAAAAATGTGCTTATGATTTATAGTAAAATGTATATGTTTATATCTAAAATGTGCGTATCAACTTCATTGAAAAGAATGACTTTGGCTGAAGAAATGCATTTCTTCAGAAGCACAACTCTCTTGTCGGTTTTGTTTGTGAACCTAGGACATGAGCTAGCAGTAGCTGTGTTTTTATGTCTCTAAGACAATTCACAGGCTACTTTCAGAGGAGGACTTTTCCAGGATCTCTCAGATTAGATTTTTAGTCTAAAGTTTCATAACTTGTTTGCCTTTCTTGGGCAGATTATTTCTGCAGCCCTGTATGCCGTCTTCTTCAGTAGTATTATTCCTATTCCATAGTATGGAAGTCAGAACATAGAGAGTCTCTGTGATAAAGCTGGTAATGTTTCTCTTACAAACTTCCATGGTGTCACCATCTTCAACTCGAAATGATTTTCAGACTTTGTATGTGACTGAGTTGTATACTGTAGTAATCCGTGGAATGGGTTTCCTTGGATGTACCCGTCTGCGTTATACTTATATTGAGGGCTATCATAATGACAACTGCAAAGCCTAAAAAGACTTTGAGTAATGCATTTTTTCAAATGTCCTTTTAAATTTACAACCAGGTGTCTTTCAGAACCGCTGATGACATTTAAGCTGCACAAAGATTTCATTGTTGCTGTTAGTAAGTAAAGTAATTTATACACTTTCACAATAGTAATGTTTTTTCTAACCTTTAATCTCCTCAGTTGCTATCCCTGTTTTTCTCCTTGGTGTAGTATTCAGTTATCCAGCCAAGGATCTGAGTTCTTCTATTTCACTGTATGTGACGACAGTGCCACATGAAAGCCCTCAAAACAAGAGAAGTCATACTAAAAGAAGCTGTTCAGTGGTTTGTTCTGATCTTTTTAGAGCTTCTGTGTGACCGCTTTCTGCATGAAATCTTTAATCTTGATTTGTTTGTTTGATTGTTTTGTACAGGCTGATAATGATTCTATAGCATTCCTCCCCTCTTGTCCAGGGACTTTTATTTTCCCATCTTGCCTTGCAAAATTGGAGAGGGATGGTAATAATTCCCTTCTCATACATGGGGTAATTAGATAGGGAGAAAAATTGTGTTTCTAACAACTCCAATTTAGAATTCGAATTTATTTCTCCATTTCCTCTTACATTTTTAAAGAGACCCTCAATAATTTTAGATGTTTTAAATAGCAAGAGATAAAATCTTGGATTCCACTCAAGCACATCATGAAGTCAGAATTGCCACAGATTTTGTTGGCTTTGGTACTGTCAGTAAATGCTCTTTGCAAGTTACTTGAAATCCAGATTCCATTATGTTCTTGCAATAAATAAAATTGAATTGCTTTCATCATTTTGAAGGCTAATTGTGTTTGGTTAACTGCAATGCATGTGTTTGGCATACTGGCATTTCTGCCATTTTTAGTCTCACTTTAGCATGTGTTTAATCTGTCAATGATTTCTGTTTTCTGTTTAATAGAATCAGATGATCAGAACTACAGAGTTGAAGCAGTGCATGCACTTGTACATAAATTACCAGAGAAGAACAGAGAGATGCTGGACATCCTTATCAAGCACTTGGTCAAGTAATTCTTTTTGATTTTTATGTTTGATACTACCGAAAAATGTGATTATTTTCACATTTAATTTGTCGGTGTTGCCTAATCCATTATAGTAATTGTGTTAAGATAGTGCCACCTGAAATTATATTTGATTTCTGAAAAGTAATATGCAATGTTGCTGAAGAATACTCATCATAGAAATAAAATAAAAAACACCATGAAGAGTCACCAAGATGACTGATAATGTTACCATATAACATATACTGATGTGTTTTCATTCACAATTCTTACTTATTACAGGATTTGGTACTAATTAAACTGGAGAAACATTTAAGACTATGCTAAGGTTGTTGATAAGAGAGTGTTATTTAGGTCCCCAAACTGGTAAAAAATGTAGACTAGACTAATACAGTATAATTTATCCTTCATGTTTGATCTAATTTTTATCTCTAATAGCTCTGAAGTATAATATGTTTTGAAAATTCTAATTTAAAATGTTTTTGTTGTTATTCTAGATAGCTCTATAAACGTCCACACCCACCTTTGAATCTCCCTAGATTTTTCAGCTATTCTGAGTTTTAATTAAATGTCTCACCGAAAAGATTTTTCTATTTCTTTGAAGTGATGACCTTTTATCTCAATTGAATTACTCTTAATGTGCACTCAGACAAAAAAAAAAGACAAACTTTTTTTTCTATTCTGTCTCTCTCTGTCATTGGCTCTGATTACATGCCTTTATTACATCATTATATATCCCTTTTTTTCATCAAACCTTATTCATTAGATTTTGCTGAGTATTTAAATGAACACATTATTATTTATTAGTTGGGATGCTGTGTATTTTTTAATATATTTCTCAGTGATCTTGGAATGTGAATACTGAAACAGCAGTTGTTCAGATGAGGCCCATAACTGACATATGTAGAAGATGCCATGAAGGTCTCCATGTTGTTTTTATTCCATTCCGTACATCCCCACCATTTTACTCTTTTGATCACAGCCTGCAGAAAGTTATCTGCACTTTGGTGGAAATTTTTTAGCCACAGTGAGTTATTTTTAGCTCTTTGGGGAAACCCAGAGAACCAGATGAAAGCAGATTCTTTAAGTTTCCAATGGAAGAGTTTGATTACTAAAAGTATAGTATTTGATGCTGACAGCCTAAGAAGCTAGAACTTGTAATCGTGAAATAATGATGTGGTAAAAGCTGCAGCTTTGATCACCACGGTACAAGATGTGCATCATAGAACTATTAGAGAGTGTCCAAAGGAGAGCTACAAAGATGGTGAGAGGTTTAGAGGAGAAGACATATGAGAAGAGGCGGAGGTCCCTGGGTGTGCTCAGCCCAGAGCAGAGCAGGCTGGGGGGAGGCCTGATGGCAGCTGCAGCTCCTCACAGGGAGCGGAGGGCAGCGCTGAGCTCTGCTCTGTGTGACAGCGACAGGCCCGAGGGAACAGCATAGAGAGGCAGGTTGCATATCAGGAAGAAGCTCTTCACAGAGGGCGGTGGGCATGCAACAGGCTGCTCAGGGCAGAGGTTACAGCCCTCAGCTGCCAGAATTCAAGGAGCATCTGGAGGACACTTTCAGACATACACTCTGAGTTTTTGGGTGTGTGGAACCTTGAGTTGGACTCGTGATCATTGGGGGTCCCTTCCAATACTCCCTTGTGATATTCTATGATCCATTGATTTTATATAGCACTTGATTTATCTGTAGGCACAATTAGGCAAACATTTCTTTCTTGTCCTCGTTTCTGGACTCTTATTCTCACTGTTACCTCCATTTCCAAAGAGAGCATGCCTGCAGTATTCCGTTCTGTAATTGTTCTTTTTAGCTTTTGCCTGTCTCAACTTTGATGTAATTCTCATTTCTGATAAATTGAAATCTTTGAGATGTATTCTTAAAACTTTCAGTTCTTCTCATTCCAACATTCAATTGATCCTTTCTAATTTCTCATATAATTTGCCAGCTGTTGTTTATGCCAGCTACTCAGATGAGTTCTAAATTAGCTTTGTAATCAGTTTTCTTTCCTTTTCTTCCTCCTACCCCTGTGTGGAGTTTTTTCAAGGAGCAAATGACACATAAAGTGCATAACTTTGTTTAGGTGGGGAAATAAGAAAAAAAATCATTTTTCTTCATTCTTTTGTTTGAAATCCTTGAAATATTTGAAATTGTTTCCTTAATTTAGGTCTTAAGGCCTTTAGTTTTCTGCCTCCCTTGACTTCTGTGTCAGTGTGTGCAGCTAAATAGGATCTAGTTGTTGGGGGATGCAGATCATACTAAAAACAAAGTAACAAGTCCAGAAAATGCTGATGAGCATTTTGCAGAGAGGTGGTGCTCTGTGAATATATACTCAGCAGCTGGGCAAGAACTGGATGTTTGGTGTTATTTTAAGTTAGGTAGCTCTTTCTTTTTGTTTTTAAACCTTCCTAATCAAATTTCCTGCTTCTTTAAAAAAATGAGTCATTCTTTGGTATGATTTAAAAACACCAGGCCTTCCTACGATTGACAAATGGGTAGTATGAGAGATTTACTGGGATATATCAAGAAGGTTTGCATTTCCACATTAATGAATGTCTTTCAGTTATGCATAAAATGCACATTTACTTTAGCTATCTATTCAGAATTTCAGTAGCCCAGCAACAGTAGAACTGGGCTAAGAGAAATTGGTTCTCAAAATAATCCATTTACAGATCTTATTTTTTTCCTTTTTGTTAGAAATTCAGCTTTTGAGGTACTTAGCAGAGAGTCCTTTCTGATTACAGTATTACTAAATTTGTCACCAAGGAAACCCAAACTGTGCAAACACTATTCTCTATCCTGTGCTTTAAGACTGTAATGTTTTTGTAAGAGACCTTGACAGTTAGTGTGCAGCACAAAGCAGAATAACATTGTAAAGAGTTATTTTTTAGGGTTTTCTTTGATATTCAAAATTGCATTTTCATTAAGATCCAGTGGACTTCCCAAACACCCTTTAGTCACCTACATAAGATAAACATAAGATAAAATTTTATTGAGACAAGTGGCTAAAAATACAGTTTAAGAAGTAATTTTCATGATTTGACTTCTAAATAACTTTTTCTACCAATGTAGCTTTCTAAGTAAAATTTTAGAATATTTTGAGGCCTAACTTAATGAAATAAAATAGGAACCATAGCGAGATGGGAATTAATTTTCCTGCAGCTTATATCACATTATCTTCTGTACAAATTTCTTCTATTTCTCCTGATTCTCAGTGTAAGTAAGGTACTAAAGTATTCCTATTCCAGTTATGAGGGTAGCATTTATTTCACCATAGAAGTAATTGGAGACCATCTAACCTATATTCCGTGGTAGATCTACTGTTCATATCACTATCCTATAACTAGTGCCTACTCAGTAACGAATAAGTCCAAGCATGAGTTTGATCCTATCAAAATTTTGTAGTAGCCTTTGGAAAATCTGTCTTTTTGTCACCAGATTTCTAATATTTGTCAGGGGTTTTCTGTTATTTGCTACCAAACTCTGGCATCAGACAGATCATTTTTTTTAATGTTTATATAGCATTATAAGCAAATCAAGATACCTGTGAATTTTACTGGTAGGGAAACATGGCAAACATCTCCATACCTTAATTAATGAAAGCAGGCAGAAAAAAAAAAAAAAAACAGAAGATAGGGTTTTCCCCTAACTGCTCCTTACAACATTTTGTAGATTTTACTGTTTTTTAATTTTAAAATGTACAAGAATAATTTTACTTATGTAAGAAATGTATTAAATGATGTTTATCAGTTTGGGCAATGGCAATAGCAGTGAGAAGGAAGAGTATAGTGTCAATGAGTGCTACTGACTCTATTTGGTTGCAAATTCAGAAAAATTAAACATTAAGATGATTATGAAAATGCTACTTGGCATGATATTTCTCAGACAAGTGCAGGCAGTAGAGCTACTTGACAAGGATATCACTGGCAGTGGGAATTTATAATAATATAATTTTTATTCAGTAATCTAATTTGTAAGAGAAGAGGGGCACTGAGGATTACTGATAGATAATTTTCATTTTACTACCTGAAAAACTATTGGAAAAACTAAGTTTCTAAATTCTACATTAATTCTAAATTAAGAAGAAAATGACATAAATGGTTCATTATGCAATAGCAGAATATACAGAAGTACAAGATTAGTGCATTTTAAAGCCATGAGGTATAATTATGATCATCTACTGTTATCTATTCCACAGAAACAGTGACATTGACCCCACTAATTTTATGCTTTGGAAATACTAAGAGATCTCATTACAATTTAAGTGTTTTCAGTAACTATATTTCTTTGCTTGGCATGAAAGCTAATATATATAATTGACCTCTTTTCTCACCTAGTACTTTCTTTCATTAGAGTATTTAAGTTCTTGTATAACTGTTGGAGAGAAAGAGGTGTATACCTTATGGCTCGTAAACTTTAGATGGGCTGGATCTCTCTGTAGAGACTTTCAAAGAAGGTAGTTACTTTTCCTTATCAGTTATGTAAGAAACATAGATACTTGAGGAAGACTTGCTCATTATACATTAAAGTATTGCACAATTGGAGCCTCAATGAAGACACAGTAGCTGTTCTGCACTGTATTTTAGCTTTAGTAAATGTGAATGTTTTTAAAATGTTTAAAAAGGGAAAGCATAATTGTGAGATTTCATCTGTTGGAATTGTAGTTTAGTGCAATTATTTAACTGCATATTGTTTGTATTCATTTAAAGGGTATCATTACACAGTCAGCAAAACCTTATGACAGTATCCAACCTTGGTGTTATCTTTGGACCCACTCTGATGAGAGCCCAAGAAGAAACTGTGGCTGCTATGATGAACATTAAGTTTCAGAATATCGTCGTTGAAATTCTTATAGAACATTACGAAAAGGTAGTAGAAGATTTTATGAGTTTTCTACTGAATAAGTGAAACCAAGATCTCATTTTCATTATCATTATTAAGTTCTTAATAATGAAAAATTTAGCATTTGTAGGTTATTGATTGAAAAAAGTACCTTGTTCTCTCCACATGCTGTGGATTAGTATTCCTATCAACGCTATGCAAGGTACAAATCCAAGGCATAATCTCCCATGCTTTGAAGAAGTCCCTCTGAATTTTCATTAGCTTTCTGAATATTTCTGAATCCTTCTCATAGAATCAGAATCATAGAATGGCCTGCGTTGAAAAGGACCTCAGAGATCATCTAGTTTCAACCCCCCTGCCACAGGTAGGGTTGCCAGCCACTAGACCAGGCTGCCCAGAGTCACATATCTGGTTCATATCTAGAACCAGAATTAGGTCATTCTTTGCTTATTCACTCTTCCATTTCTCTCACATGAGCAGTATATTGAGGTTCAGTCTGGATGAGTACATGGATTCTCTTCTGTATATACTCTGTGCATCAGTTCTGAGTCTTCCTGACAGTTACTGTCCTTTGGGGATATATCAGCTGGAGGTCAGTGGAGGTCTGGTCCCAGCTAATGTCATGAAACCCCAACCATATTTCACTTCCTCTTTCCGCAAGCAGCGTTAGTATTGATGCCCAACACAATCCTCAATTCTGTTTGCTGTAACACTATTCAGATATGTAGATACCAGATAAACTATGTTAAAAAATAATAAATGGTTCTTAGAGAAAGTTTTATTTCTAATTACAGGTTGTTAACCCATCAATCTGTAACAAACTCCGTAACATGCAGCATACAAGCAAGATACTTTTTTGCTTTCAGCAAATATGTGTAACTCCCTGGTTTTATTTGTTTTTCCCAAAGAGACACAAAGGGTACATCTCATACTCTTTATGCAAAAACTAAATAAGAACTTTTTCAGGACTTGAGAAGGAAAATCTGTGAAATCATAAAATGTTACTTTCAGTCACTTTCACTGCAGGTATCATAGAGAATCTTGAGTCATAGAATGACCAAGGTTGGAAAAGACCTTCAAGGTCATCCAGTCCAACCATCCACCTATCACCAACAGTTCTCACTAAACCACATCCCTCAACACAACCTCTAAACGTTCCTTGAACACCTCCAGGGTTGGTAGCTCCACCACCTCCCTGGGCAGCCCATTCCAGCACCTGACCACTCTTTTGGAGAACTAGAATTTCCTAACGTCCACCTTGAATCTCCCCTGGCACAACTTGAATCACCTTCACTGTCAGTTCTCTTTATTGATGGTGGTTTTTTGCCCTTTAACTATAGAACCCAGCAGAATAGTCAAGACCTCCTTTACTTAATCATCAAAAGAAGTAGTATTTGGGGGATTTTTTGTTGATTTATATCACTTTCTCTGATGACTGACAAAACAAGGTGAAAGAAGTTTGATTTTATTCTGTTTACTCTGATGTGGAGCAATTCCTTGTCGTTATCAGGATCCCTTGCAATGATTGATCAGTAATTACTGACAGTATTGCTTGATATCACCAATTATATTTCACTACTCAACATCTCAAAAATTAGTATGATGCTGGCAGCCCCCATGCATTCAATTCCAAAACATACTTAATACATGTTTCCCAAACTGACTTTCCCCTCCGGAAACTAGCAGTTTATTCAATACACAGAACGTGGCTGCACAACCAAAGTCATCCTTGCTCTCTATCTGCAGACATGGTTTTGCATTGATGTGCTACTTACTAATTGCTAATATGGTATTGTTTAAAGAGCATCTCAAGACCTCATTTAAAGTATTTTCTACTGTCTGAGTATACATCCACTTTTCCTCCACTTCTTAAATAGCATGTAGATTTCTTCTCATTTTTGAAAAAAATTAAGGTTTTCTACAGAGATACAGCGCAAAATTTATTACTGATAGCAGTGGTACATGAAAGATAAAAATCACAAGATACTCCAAACCTGAAGATGATCCTCATCAGGCTTGCCTTGTTTAGGAAAATAAAGTGGTTTTCTAAAATACAAATGGGATTGTAGATATGACACCTTTCTGTAACATACAAAAGCTCTCATAGGTACACATATAATGAAATTCCACTTCTTCATAATATTTGAAAGTATATATTTCCTGAGTTGGTGTTAGTAGCAAACACTACTGTATGTTTCACAATTTAGGTTGTTAAGCGCTTTATAACTGGGGCTAGAAGATAAAACTATTTAAAGAAATATTTCTGTGTAATCAGCATAATTTTTAAGTACAGCTTTTTGTTCACTAACCCATTCTTGGGTTGTAGAATTTAATCAGAAGATATTCTGTGAATGTGCTCTTTTAAGATGGGTGAGACTATTACAACATTCAGGTGCTGTGATGAGGAAAACAAATATATTATTAATGGAAGCATAGGAATACCTCTATTATTTATTTCTCTTTTTTTTTTCTTCCTTTTTTTTTTTTTAATCATGCAGATATTTCACACTGCACCAGACCCCAATATTCCTCTTCCCCAACCTCAGTCCCGTTCAAGTTCAAGAAGGACAAGAGCAATTTGTCTTTCCACAGGTCCTCGTAAGCCCAAAGGAAGATACACACCGTGTCTAGCAGATCCTGACAGTAAGTTTGTTCTTGTTGACTGCTGTCTTCCTTTTCATGTCTTGGCCTTTTGATATTCCTCAGCAATGTCCAGTAAGCACTGTATTCCAATAAACATTACAGATGGAATTTCATCAGCTTCTGTGAGTCACAGCTGTACTGCTGAATGACTACATTCCTTGCTTCTCTCAGAGGAGGAAGGATATTTAGTTTTAGGCATGTCTTGTATTAAATACAAAAAGCTTTTAGAGTAGACTTTATGTTCTGATCTGAAAGTAGCCTGCCTTGAAACTCTGTGAAGTTCACTATATGACATTCCCTTAATTGTTAAGGTTGAGAAGCTTTAACTCAGTCAAGGTCGGGAGATCAAAAACATTACTTGGCTGTTTTCACATGCGTGAAACTGTGGTCATTGGTTCAAAGCAAACTACTGTCTAGGATGCCAAAACCACTGAAACCTTATTAGTTTGACTGGAATAGAAACAAACTGCTATGTTATGAGAAACAGTGTACTCAGCAGATGATTTGCTGTTTAACAACATGGAGTTATGTTTGCAATTACTTGCTGCTTAGAAATCTTTTTCATTTTAATGTAAATGTGACTTTCATGCAATGTGTTAAAAAGGGGCATTTCATTTGTTTTCATCACTTTTTACTTACCTGCCTTACCATTAAGAAGTATAGAAGCTGTAGCAATGTCTAAGTTGCTAACCACTGCAGGAGATTTCCAAAAGAACTTCTGTGTTTACCAGTTCCTCAAGGAGATTTACACAAAATAGGTACAGTAAAGTAATGTACAGCAATAATGAATGAGAACGGTGGCTCCCTGCTCTTCAGTTGCTAGTGTGAATGGCATGGGATCCTTAGATGAAGAAGTTATGGTGGAGCTGTCAGTTACGTTCACTAGAGGAGAAACTGAACAAATTCCAGCTGTTTTTCACTGTGTAACTAACGGCATGTCAGTGGGGCAGTTCTGTCAAAGTATTTTTCTGGGCTTATGCAAGCACAGGCTTCTTAATTCACTCATAGTTTCTGCCGACAGCTGGAATGAAGTTAGGTCTGACCAAGGAGCTCTCCACATGGAATTTGCTTGTTGGCTCCAGCTCAGCATTTGCTGCACAAGTTCCAGTTAAGATCTCACTTGTGCCTAGAGGGCTGAGTCAGGAGCAGAGGTGTTCTTCTTGCCAAGTAGCTCTAGCTGTGCCAGAGACAGTCAAGACAGAGCCCTGGTTTCTGGCAGTAGCTCTTTTTGAAGCACTGGATAGTTTTATGTCATCATTTAAATGAAGAACAGACACATAACTGTATTTCAGAAAGTTAAGGAACTCTATATGCCCTGACAAAATGAGATATAGGTACCAAACTTTAGAGAATGATAGAAAATGATAGAAAATGCAATTGTCAAATTTAGGTTCCAGCCAGTCTTACCATTTTTGAGAGACTGCTGATCTGTACAGAGTAAAACAGTGCATAATCTGGAATATCCAGAAATCTGTCCAGAATTAGACGGAAACTTTCAGATTACTGCACAAGCAGCACTAATGTTTTCACATCCAGTGAGCAAGGTATTAGCATTTGAGACCTTATTTTTAGTATCCTATGTGGATGTCATCACCTATTTCCAAGAATACTGAAACATGCAGAGGCAAAATCACTTGTATCCATTTCGTATCTTATAAATACTCTGTAGTTAAAAAATATACATTCTCTCCTTGTGAAGTTTTTGAATTACATCTCCTAAGTCTTGGATGAAAGATATTACTGGAATCTAACTTATGACTCACTACACCTACTGCATTTTTATGAATCCAGTCTAAAAGATATTTCAGCTCTCACAATTTGTTGGCCAGTCCTTCCTCAGTTCTAATATATGCACCTTCTCTCACATCAGCAGCAAAGTTCTTTAGAATATTTCCACTCCTTGTAGGACAAGTTTGGCTCGTTGGTCTAGGGGTATGATTCTCGCTTAGGGTGCGAGAGGTCCCGGGTTCAAATCCCGGACGAGCCCAACTTTTCTCCAACTTTTCTCTTCCCCTTAGCAGGAAGTGGGCAAGGTTGGAACTTTTCTGTGTCTGGCAAGATTGCGGAGCAGTTCCTCCCAGCCTTACTAAGACACATGAAAAATAAAGATGGGGTGATAGGTGGGTAACCAAGACAACTTCACGAACGGAAGTCATGTCTGACAAACTTGGTGGCCTTTTATGATGGAGTTACAGCATCAGTGGAAAAAGGAAAAGCAACTGACGCCATCTACCTGAACTTGTGCAAAGCATTTGACACTGTCCTGGGACCAGACCATTCACTGGATAAGGAACTGGTTGGATGATCACAGCCAGAGACTATTGGTCAGTGGTTCAGTGTCCAAATGGATACTGGTGACAAGTGGTGTTCCTCAGAGATGGGTGCTGGCACTGGTGCTATTTAACATCTTTGTGGGTAACATGGACAGTGGGATCAAGTGCATCCTCAGCAAGTTTGCAGATGGAACCAAGCTGAGTGATGCATTTGACATGCTATAGGGAAAGGATGCCATCCAGAGGATCCTGGACAAGCTTGAAAGGTGGGCCCATGCAAACCTCATGAAGTTCAACAAGGCCAAATGCAAGGTCCTGCACCTGGGTCCCAAGCACAGATACAGATACATGGAGAATGGCTTGAGAGCGGTACTAAGGAAAAGGGTTTGAGGGTGTTGGTTGATAAAAGACTACTCTGTTCTCATGAGACTCCACCAGGAATATTGTGCCCAGTTCTGGAGCCCCCAACACAAGAAGGACATGGAACTGTTGGAGCATATTAGCATATTTGGGGGTGTTGGTTGACACTCGGCTAAACATGAGCCAGCAGTGTGCCTGGGTGGCCAAGAAGGCCAATGGCATCCTGGCTTGTATCAGAAGTAGTATGACCAGCAGGAGTAGGGGAGTAATTGTTCCCCTGTACTCAGCTCTGGTGAGGCTGCACCTTGAGTACTGTGTTCAGTTCTGGGCCCCTCACTGCAAGAAAGACATTGAGGCCCTAGAGCGTGTTCAAAGAAGGACAACAAAGCTGGTGAGGGGTCTGGAGCACAGGCCTTATGAGGAGCGGCTGAGGGAGCTGGGATTGTTCAGTCTGGAGAAGAGGAGGCTCAGGGGAGACCTTATTGCTCTCTATAACTACCTGAAGGGAGGTTGTAGCGAGCTGGGGGTCGGCCTCTTCTCCTGTATAACCAGTGATAGGACCAGAGGGAATGGTTTCAAGCTGCGCCAGGGAAGATTCAGGCTGGATATTAGGAAATACTACTTCTCTGAAAGGGTGGTGAGGCACTGGAATGGGCTGCCCAGGGAGGTGGTGGAGTCCCCTTCCCTGGAGGTGTTCAAGGAACGTTTGGATGTTGTGTTGAGGGATATGGTTTAGCGAGAACCATTGGTGATAGGTGGATGGTTGGACTGGATGATCTTATAGGTCTTTTCCAACCTTAGTGATTCTGTGATTCCGTGATATCCAGAGGAGGGCCAGGAAGATGATCGAAGTGCTGGAGCACCTCCTCTATGAGGACAGGCTGAGAGAGCAGGGGCTTTTCAGCCTAGAGAAGAGGGGCTCCAGGGGGACCTTACAGCAGTAGCCTTCCTGTACCTGAAGGGAACCTACAGGAAAGCTGGGGAGGGACTTTTTATAACGATAGGTAGTGACCTGGGAAGGGGAAATAGTTTTAAAATGGAAGAGGGTAGATTTAGGCTAGATATCAGGAATAAATTCCTTATTGTGTGAGTAATGAAACACTGGAATAGGTTGCCCAGTGAGGGATGCCCCCTCCCTGGAAGCATTCAAGGCCAGGCTGGATGAGATTATAAGCAGTCTGGTCTAGTGGGAGGTGTCCCTGTCTACAGCAGAGGGTTTGGGATTCAGTGATCTTAAAGGTCTCTTCAAACCCAAACCATTCTATCATTGTGTGATATCATTGAAAGTAATTATATCAGCACAAACATTTCTGTGTAGATAGGTTAATTTCTCTATTTTCAGTCCAATTAAAGAAATGCATCAAATGTTCAGTGTTAAAGTTGTAAATAACAGAATGAGTGGTCCTGCAAGATAGATATTTAAAGAAAGACACAATGATTCAGAAAACTGGACAACTATGGGTAAACTTTTGCAGACTCTTACAGAGACTGCAAAGATCCTCAGCAGCTTGGTAATCAATGTAAAATTGTTTATAGAGTCATGCCTTTCAGAACATAAATGGGACATGCACCACAACCCTTGCCTTGTGGTCAAAATCCGGGAAGGTGTCTGTTAAAAAGATATTGCAGAATTGGAAGTGTTTAATTTCCTAACAATATTTATATTGCAGGCAGTTTTTTTTAAAATGTAACATTTACACAAAATACTTTCACCTGCAACACGTTATGTTCATCTGCTCCAGAGAAATGTCCACAAAGTGCAGATTTTCCAGGTTAAATATAGGAATGTGTGAAACTTAGAGCAACTAAATTGCTATTTTGTCTTGAGAATGACTGTTGCTGAAACTATGGATAATGGCTATCAAATTTGATGATGATATGGTACAAGGGCTAAAGATGACATGAAAGAAATGTGCATGGTTAGATAATATAGTTGTCTAATTGCTCCTTTCTTCTCCCTTCCCTCTTGCCTAGGTGACTCGTACAGCAGTAGCCCAGATAGCACACCCATGGGCAGCATCGAATCTCTCTCCTCTCACTCCTCTGAGCAGAACAGCACCACCAAATGTGTGCCCTCTCAGCCCAGGGAGAAGTCAGGAGGGATTCCATGGATTGCCTCTCCCCCTTCTTCAAATGGCCAGAAGAGTTCAGGCCTCTGGACCACAAGTCCAGAATCCTCATCAAAGGAGGATGCAACAAAAACAGACATGGAGTCAGACTGCCAAAGTATAGCTTCTGTCACTGGACCAGAGAATGCCTCTCCACCAATAGATCTGACTAAGAAGAGTTCCTATAGTCTGTCTGGCCTGAAAAGATCTTCAGGTTCTTCCCTCAGATCAATTCCATCAGCTGAAGGTAATTTCAAGGTTTTTTGTGACATTAGTGAGTTTACTGTGAGGCATCAAAAAATAAAAGATGCATCTGAAAGCTAATGTTACTCTTTAATTTTGTTTATTTTTTAACTTTTAAGGTATGTTATTTCACTTTTGAAATTGCTTCTGACACATTTCTGTTGTCATCTGTACAACTCACAATACCAGTGTTTCTAGGAATTTAGAGTACTCTCTATCCTGCAAAGCCTCACAGAGGCTGCTGACTTGTAAGATTTCTGGCTTATAATATAAAAGAGTTGGTATTTGTGGTTATTACTGCATCAGAAGAATAAACGCTGGCAAAATTATTGTCAATAATCAAAGTTAGCACTTACATTCAGAAAGCCCTAGGATTAATATATCTAGTAACAACTTTATTGCTTCTTGTGCATGAAATGAAGAGTATGTCTGAAACCTTTTCTACAGATTATATTTACAACTTGTAATAATTAGCTCTTTTTTTTTTTTTTCATTTAAAAGTTTCATTAAGCTTCTGTGCATACCAAAATATTAATTCTTACATTCTTAATGCCATCTCATTTCATAGCGAATACTACTTTTAGCAGGAGTTTGGACTATATGTCTGCTTGAGATCCCCTCCAACGTGATTTTTCAACAGTTATGTGCAATATTCTGCTTTATAAATGTTAAAGGTTTCCATCCTCACTTTTTAATGACTGTACTATCTAGCCATGTAAGTGCAATATGGTTTTTTAGCCTGCATAGTTTTAACATTGTTTCTTCATCCTTGCTGCTGGTCCTTTTCTCCTGGCTTTTTGCCTGTTTCATCTGTGTCTTAGTAAGTACTTACTCCCTAGTTTGCTCCTTAACAAAAAATTGCTTTGCATGTTACACATACAAAACATCTTCAAATTAGCTTTAATAATGTTTGTTATTTGGTTGCTTTCTTTAGGTAACAAAAGTTGCAGTGGATCTATACAGAGCTTGTCTTCAACAGATACAAAAGATACACCAAAGGCTCCACTAAATCCTGATTTGCCTCCCAAAATGTGCAGAAGATTAAGACTAGATACTGCATCAAGTAATGGCTATCAAAGACCAGGATCTGTGTAAGTTAAGACCCTTCGGAGTTCTTAGTTCTTACAATATTGTCTTCTATGAAATGATCACAAAGAGCTTTACAGGTAGTTGAAAAAGCACTCATGAACACTTGCTTGGTCTTTATTTATGACTTACTTACCAAAATTAATCAAAATTATAAACAAAGGAGACACTGACAGTCTAATGTCAATTGAAAGATTACCATTTGCTTCATTAGACTGTAAATAAGGTCGATAATGAAGACTTGGATTTTTGGAAAGTATTATTAGTATTGATCATGGAGCACATTGTAGCTTACTGTCCGTGCTGTTATGTGAAGAAGATTATCAGATTTTATTTATGCGAGTCAAAAATAGGAGCAAAGTAAAAAAAACATTTCTCTGAAATTTCTTCTGCTGTTGCATGGTCAGTGGTTGAGATCTTTGTTTATTTTCATATGGTTTTGTTTGTTTGTTTGTTTGTTTGTTGAGAAGAAGATAGTCGTCAGCAATAGAAGTTGAAATTTAGGTTGTTGAGATTTTGCTTTCGAATGTTTCTTAGTGCTTATAACATAACCTTAAGAATGTGTTTCTTAAAAATGTGATTTTGCTGTAATGTTGAATCTAACCCAGACTTTATGTGTTCCTGGGAGTAAGAGATTTCCAGAACAGCAGAGCACCAAGAAGTTCTCCAAATACTAACGGACTCCATTCAGTCTCTCCAATTTTTAAACTGGAATACATTACTGTAATCATTTCACAGTCTTAGCTTTTCATCTTAACTTAAACAGAAAATCACCTGCACAGCTCAGCAGACTGGCAGTAAGAGCCAGTATATCTCTACTTGGCATTCAAGAATAAATGTTTATATAGAGAGTGATGAGTTTTCCTTCTTGCTGACTCAGCAAGGCTCTGGAGGATGTGGAATTCAGTGGACTAAGATAGGTTATGCCCATAAAAATTCTGCTAATTATGTACTTAAAAGGAGCTTTTGAATTTCCTCTAGTTTTCAAAGTGAATACTTGCAACAGTCTTAAAAAATGTTTCCATGTCTTTATATGGTTAAAAGTAAAATTAGTTTGTGACTTTAATTAATAAGCAAAGTGTAAAGCAAGGTACTTTCTTATTTTCAGAGTGGCTGCAAGAGCCCAGTTGTTTGAAAGTGCTGGTTCATTTAAACAAGTTTCTTCAGGACGGTAAGTGCTTCTTACTGTTAAACAAATTGTAAAATCCTTTGTATTTTCCTGGCTCCAGAGATTGAAATAGAAGTGTTGGAGCTTTGTTCTCTGTCTTCTGGGCAGCATCATGTGGCACACAAAACTTTTGTTATTTTTTATACTCACCCTTCTTATGGAAGAAAACTAAACCTAATATAAAGTAGCAGCCTTTCTAACTATTCTGTCCCCTTCTGAGCTTGCAGGGAGAGATGCTGAGGTTAGTGATCTGCTCATGGACACAGCTACAAGAGAAAATTAACAAGATGAGGGCACTTCACACACTGTTCAGCTATTTGTTATATACATCCTGTCAGCAGAGTAGCAAACATGCTAGTTTATGATAATTTGCTCATGTGGTCAAGTACTGAATAACATCTACTTTAGAAAGCTCAGGATTAATTTAATCAGGATCTCTCCCATAACACATCCCATCCCTTAGTACCTGTCCAGAGAAACAGTTGCCCTTCGTTCTTGATAGTCTGCATCAGAAATTACTTAAGTTTTCTTTGTAAATGTATGCAATTATTCAGTGGATTTGATCAATTTCTACACCAAATGAACCTAGAATGTTCTGATATGTGTTCATCTAGGAAGCAGTAGTACTTTCTATATTGCTAAACGGCCTTAATTATTAGATTCAAGTCAAATAAATGTGTGTGGGAAAGGTTCTCTTTTCACCGTCTCTGCATCTCAAGTCTTTTGAGACAGAATGTATGGTTTGGTCCATCATTTTACTCTGGTACAGTCATCTTACTTGAACTGCTAAGCAACAGAAAAAATAAATAAAGCATAATATCAATCCATTAATCTAAAGATGATAATAAAGTAGCATAGATATAAACAAAGATGCCAACATGTGCTGAGATGTGCAGTAGGGAACACGACCATCTTCTCTGCCAAATGTGGCAGTGGAGAGAAAGAGAAAGCTGACCTGAAAAGACCTACTGGTTTTGTTCAAGGGAAACAGTTTACGGAATCAAGACTGTTCTTCTTTCTGTGTGGTACATGAAATGTGAGAAAACTTTTAGTGTGGCAGGGAGAGAAATAGGATGAGAAGGGGAGGACATTAATTTAGGGAATAAAAGTGTAAAAGAAGAGACTGGAATATTCATTGGCCAGTGACCTGAGCCAAGAGCAATGACTGGTTCACCAGTGCTGCATCATTTTACCTCCACTTTTGTTCCTTCTCTTATTTTGTTTTGCTCCCTTCTTGTAAACTCTCTGCTAACGTTCCCTTAGAACCTGTGTCATCTCTACCTATATATAAAAAGCATCTAAGAAGCCAAAATCTGACAAAGGGAAAATGTAGCAGTTGATAATGGATATGAGAAGCAGATAAGATAGCAGAAAATACTGAAAGGCTTAATAGCTCCACCACTTCAGCCTTCCTAAGAAAGCAGAAGAGCAACAATAACAAGAAGAATGGAAAATGAGAGGTCAGCAGGCAAAATGAGGAAGAAATAAAAGGTAGCTCAGCTGTTCTTCTGATGCTGCTCGAGTCTGACTGAGATTTTGCAATTCAGAGCCAGCTCTTATTTGCCTTTCATGCATGCTGTGACTATAAAGTCTGAATTAAATCCTTAGGGTAGTCTATTTTGATCTGAAATCATGGTAATTACATTTGATCCACACAGTAGATGGGCCTTTTGGATTCCTATTGCTCCTATGCAATAAGCATATGCAAGGTAGAATGTAAGGCAGAGAAGCTACTTTTATGCTGTCTCATTTGATATCATAAATATTTAAGTGAGGACTGTGATGATCTCTGTGAAGGGTCAGTTTACAATGCTGTAAATAACTGATTTTGAAATGTATAGCTACTGCTTACCTGTGCATAGCACTGTCTAAGTAGCTTCATCCTGTCTTGATGCATTTGTTGCCTGAAATGGTATTTCATAATTACCTGTATGGATCAAAAGTACCTATACAGCTTTGCAGTCTCATTTTGGCTCATGTATTCCAGCAGATTTCTGTTCACTCTCAATAACTGCCTGAAGGGAGGTTTTAGTGAACTGGGGGTCGGCCTCTTCTCTCATGTAACAGTGATAGGATGAGAGGGAATGGCCTCAAGTTGCACCAAGGGAGATTCAGGCTGGATATTAGGAAATAGTACTTTTCTGAAAGAGTGGTCAGGCACTGGAATGGGCTGCCCAGGGAAGTGGTGGAGTCACTGACCCTGGAGGTGTTCAATGAACATTTGGACGTTGTGTTGAGGGGCATGGTTTAGTGAGAGCTATTGGTGATAGGTGGATGATTGGACTGGATGATCTTGTAGGTCTTTCCAAACCTTGGTGATTCTCTGACTCTACTATCATTCTGTGATCTGGATAATCTCACAATTGATGCTTCACCACCGCAGTGACTTAGATTTCCATAATTCAGTCCTCCCGGTAGTGCTTGCACCACCTCTTTCTGACTTTGCATAATGTCTTCTGTGTACTAGGAAAGTTGCATCCCCACACACATTTTATTTTTTTTTTAATGATGGGTCATTATTGAGGCAGCTTTTATCTGTCTTTCTGTACACCAGTACCTGCCTTCATAGTGGCACTGATTTGAAAAGATTTATGATAGTTAGAAAGAGGCAGAATGAGAGGCCACTGCACCCTTCACCATTGGACAGATAAGACCAAAATTTTATGCTATTCCCAGCCTGCGCTCTCTTTTTTTTTTCCGTCACACGGTTGCTTTCACTTCTCATTTTTCCCATTCCTTCCCTCCTGACTTCAAGTTTATTAATCACCCATCTCCCAGACTGTAGCATTAAGGTACTTCTGTTTTCTGTCTGTCTCTTTGTAGACTGAAAACTCATTAGGGCAGGAGCATAATTTTAGAGCTTATTTGTAACTTTTAAAATAGGTTACCAAAAGTATCTCAGGTGTTGCTGACCATGTGTAATGTGTAGTTAGGCAAAATAGTTTTGGCCTGTGGCCACTTGTGTAAATTTATCATGGGCTTATATGGGGGCTTGTTACAGTTGGAATAGGTGATCTTAGTGGTCTTTTCCAAATTTTATGATTCTATGATATCTATGACAACAAACACAATAAAAGGCAGCAAAAGGGAAGAGTCTATCCAGTGAAATCATGAAAAGGAGGAACTTGTAGGAAACATGGGTACCAGAAATGTTTTGTTTTTTTTCTCTTAACATGAATCACACTCTTCTGAGGTGTTTAGATCATCTTAAAAGAGCCGTAATAGATGATCATGATGTCATTGTATGCTTTTTAACAAGCAGATTTATTTGCAGGGAGGAGGGTATTAACATCATAGGAGAGAATATGATTTTCAGCATTTAGTTTATCTACTAAATGCTGCCAAAGATCTGTAATCCTGTTTCCTTGCTATGCTTCCAGATAGATAGCATTGAAGTGAATAATGAGTGATACAAACAGCGTAAATAATCAAGTTAGATATGGAAGGAATAAGCCAGCGCTTGAAAATTGCTCCAGAATTATGAGTAAATATCCTTAGATTCTACATCAGGAGCAAGGTAGTGGGAAGATGATGTGGAGAAGCTGATAATTCATGAGCTTCTGAGAGGGTGATTTTTTTGTACTTTGTGCTTCTATATTTGTGTCATGTCAAATGCTCAATAGCTTTCACTTTCCAGAACTGAGCAAATCAGAGTCTATGTTTTCTTGTCTCATATTTACTTTAAAAACAAACATATTTCGATCACAAAAAAATTAGAAGCTGAAAGCAGAATAGTTTAGTAAACACAGAAGCATAAAGGAGAAAATTTCATTTTACTTTTTCTAAGGACATGAAAAAACAACATGCTTTGTTTTGAGAATAACTTAAATAATTCTGCCTCATTCAGATATTGTGATTCTGCTTTACAGTTGCCTTAGATGCCTTTTATCAGTGTTCCTCAGATGTTCCATTCTTAACATGGGAAACTGGCTTGATACCACAAAGTGGTGAAATTAATGAAGTTCAAAATCATGCCTGTATTATAGTAAATTCATTACTAATTATCTGATAATCATTGCCACTGTATTCATTGTTAACAGTTATTGTGCTGTTTTATGTGTATAAAAGTTGTGTGGTTTATTTTTTTAATTGTGAGGGTATTTCAGAGATGCCAAATAAAAAAGGACCAAGAAGTAGTTGCTGACATTGAGGTGAAATTACTGTCTTATGTGCACACTGCTTAGAACTGGTCCTCCTCCTCTCCCCCACCAAAATAGACCAACTATATCCAAACCCATATCTCATATATATACATGACATATGTAGATGTGCAGAATTGCTATTATTTTGCATGCATTTTGTTTGTTTGTTTGTTTGTTTGTTTGTTTGTTTCAGTACACAAAATGTAAAATATTGCTAGGACAGTGTTGCATCCAGCCAGAGCAGTGCTTTTATGGCATGAAACAGAGATGGTACTTGTATATCCTGGAGTATTCTAGGATATGGGGGATGTTTTGGTTTAATAGTCTTCTGGGACAGTACTGAAGGATAGAAAGCATCAACTGGAGGAAACCAAGTAGGATAGCATCTTTTTTGAACTGTGGCTCTAAGGAGCTGTCCTGGAAAAACGCTAAACAGAGCAGTCCAAAACCATCCAAAAAGCAAGCTAACAGTGAAGCAGAATAGACAGTGAGGAGCCCAAGGCTCATGTCATTTTGGTTAGCAATAGGGATGTACCTGGAATGACATTAAAGAGTCAGAAATGGAAGATAATCAGATCATCCTAAAAATAAGGTACTCCTCTCTCATGAGAGAGCTTCACAACCTCTCTGTGCAGCTTCTCCCAATGCTCTGTCACCCTCAAAGTAAAGAAGTTTTTCTTCATGTTCAGACTTAACTTACTGTGTTCCAGTTTCTGTCCGTTGCCCCTTGTACTGTTGCTGGGCACAAACATAAAGAGCCTGGCCCCGTGCTCTTGACACACACCATTTAGATATTTCTTCTAAGAGACAAGATCCCCTCTCAATCTTTTGCAGGCAAAACAGTCCCAGAACTCTTGGCATTCCCTAGTAGGGAAGTGCTCCAGGCCCTGATAATCTTTGTAGCCCTCTGCTGGGCTTTCTTTAGTAGTTCCCTGTCTTTGTTAAACTGAGGAGCCCAGAACTGGACTTCAGATGTGGCCTCATCAGGGCAGAGTAGAGGGGGAGGATCACCTCCCTGGACCTGCTGGCCATGCTCTTTTTAAGGCATCCCAGGACACCATTTGCCTTCTTGGCCACAAGGACATACTGCTGGCTCATGTTGTCCATCAGGATATCCAGGTCCTTCTCTGCAGACCTCCTTTCCAGTAGATCATCCCCTAATCTGTATTGATGGTTGTTATTATTCCCCAGGTGTAGGACTCTACACTAGCTCTTGTTGAACCTCATCAGGTTCCTCTCTGCCCAACTCTCCAGCCTGTCCAGGTCTCATGAAAGGCAGCACAGCTTTCTGGTGTATCAGCCACTCCTCCCAGCTTCGTATCATCAGGAAACTTGCAGAGGGTGCAGACTATCCCACCATCCAGGTTACTGATGAAGATGTTAAACAAAACCAGACTGACGTGGCAGTATCATTACATGATTTATGACTGTTATCTCACTATTTTGGGAGGAAAGACAAAATAGATTACATGTCACTTACATATGCACATTGTTGAAAGATATTTCAAAAATTTGAAACTTCACCAAAGGCCATGTTCTGGGTCAGTGAGATAAAGTCTGGCTGTAAGGAAAGTTCAATCACCATCTCCATATCACATCATACAAAGGTGAAATGATCAACAGCTTCATCTTTGCATTGCAGAATGTGGTTTTCCAATAACGGAACTCAGAGAAGCTGATGGATCATATACTAATTGCTTCCAGGGTATAAAATAAAGTCAGGTGTTAGAGTTCTAAATAAAGCATAGGAATCTAGTGAGAACTTGTAAATGAGGTAACTTTGTGTTCAGTCTCTTATTTTGTGTGCTAAAAGTCTTATCAAACTATTCTGTCCTCTTGCTCTGGAAGCAGATTCTGATATACCTGATTATTTCTTTCTACAGATATCTGTGTAGTGTTGTGTTGTATTATTACTGTTTTTTTAATGAATCTTTCTTAACAAGAATTCTTCAGAGATTCTCTCCAATCATGGCAGTTGCAGTCCTTCTCTTCTGATCAAGAATATGTTTTTGCAGCCATAAATTAAAAGACATAAGCTGTCTGTTGTTCTATTCAAGAAAATATGTTATTGAATGTTCCATTACAGGCAGTGGAAACTGGGGAGCCATTTGTTGCACTTTCAAGTAGATATCCACCAGAACAGAACCCAGACCTTGAGAGCCATCTGAGCTGGACATGTGGCTTTTTTAGACAACCTGAATGAGGTGGCTTAGCCTGAAATTCATTCCAGACACCTCAATCTCCTGTGCTGCAATTGAATCATCCTGGAGGACACATTTCTCCTTTTTTTGTGTCATATTTACCTTACATTTATTATTTTCTTCTGTAGACTAATCAACTGTATTTTCTCTCAAATCATGGTTGTGAGCCCTTGATGACTTGCTGATCTCTTTGGAATTCTCTCCAAGCAGTTCATAACTTGCTACAAGCAACTTTTTCAATTCATGTACTTTTGAAGGATAATTTCAAATACCCTTCAACTATTTTAACAGTTACAATGCTCACGTTTAAGTTTCTAAGTAGGATGTAGGTCTCTTTTCTACAGTAACATAGTTGGTAATCCCTGGTAAACTAGGAGTTCTAGGAGTTATTGTCTCTTCTAATTCTGCTCCTCTGAACTACTGTGTAATGAGTTGTTATCATCCTCAGGACAAGGGGAGATGGTTTTAAGTCGAGGGAGGGAAGATTTAGGATGTCAGGGGGAAGTTCTTTACAGAGAGAGTGGTGAGGTGCTGGAACAGGCTGCCCAGAGAGGTTGTGGACGCCCCATCCCTGAAGGTGTTCAAGGCCAGATTGGATGGGGCCCTGGGCAGCCTGGTCTAGCATTAAATGGGGAGGTTGGTGGCCCCTGCATGTGGCAGGGGGGTTGGAGATTCGTGATCCTTGAGGTCCCTTCTAACCCAGACCATTCTGTCATTCTGTGATCCTGTACTTCTGCAAGAGATTATTCCTACATTTCCCAGGTTTTAACTTCAGTTTTTCATATGATTTTTTCTTATTTTTTTATTTCAGACAAGCAAAAGCCATGTATTCCTGTAAGGCTGAGCACAGTCATGAGCTGTCTTTCCCACAGGGGGCAATATTTTCCAATGGTAAGATGTTTTACATTCCTTATTTATGTTTAATCCAACAAACGAAAACAAAACAAAACCTGAACTGTATCTGCAAGATAAGAGTGTAATTCAACTCTCAGTTTTTGCCTGTTTTTTATATTGCTCTTGAATAAATGCCATTTAAATAAATATATGAACCGCATATGGGATCTGTTAACTATAAATATTTACTGTAAATATGTTTTGCTTGATTGTTTTTTTGCAGTGTATCCATCAGTGGAACCAGGCTGGTTAAAAGCAACTTATGAAGGCAAAACAGGACTCGTTCCTGAGAATTATGTTGTCTTCCTCTAGTAATCTTTAGTGGACAGCAATATCTTCATGGTATCCATGGTAACAAATAATAAGCACTCTGATTTTTTATCTGACACAGATATGGGATCAGCCCGTTAGCTGATTGTAGTAGATTTCCTTCAGATATTGCAGCTGCAGGTTACATGGCTCCCTATCAACAGAACAGAATGTAATGAAACAGTTAACAGTTACTGTACTGAAGACGGTACTCTGTTTAAATAACTTCCATTGTTTGCAAAAGGTTGTTCTGTTCTTCTTTTATGGGTAAGGAACACTAGAGCAATAAAATCAAAAAAGTTGCCATTTAGCTGCAGACCTTCAGGTCCTAGGATGTTGCTCACAGAAGTGTGAAGTTTAGAGGGAATGCACCCTATGACATTTCTTGGAATCAATATTTTTTAATATGAAAATGTTCATAATATAAGTGATGCCTTGTGTTCTGAATACTTCCTTACAAAATTTGATTCTGAGATAAGTCCTAATCATTTCAAATAAGAAACGCTTCTTCCATAAATCGGAAGTTTGAATGTCTGTTAGTCATTGAGATCACAATATGTTATAGAATGTATGTAACTGGTAGTGAAATCAGATTACTGTCTGAGCAGTAAATGCTCATTCAAAATGTGATGTTTAATGAATGTTTCATTCAATTACTTCTTAGATTTATTTCCTCCTTTCTTTGTGAATATAAATAACAATAACTTGTATTTCCGTGTTACCAGCCAGGTGGGAGATAATCTCAGTGTATCTCAGAGCACCAGTTGTAGGAAACAAGGAGATACTGAGTCTGGAATGATTGATAGATACCGAATGAGTGATAAAAAAGTGCGATAGGTTTTTAAACGAGACATGAAGTGTAACTGAGTCCTTTTCAAGTTTTTCCATTGTGAATAAGACAATACCTGTGAAGTAGCAGATTTTATAAGCTCTGGATGCCAAAAGCTCCATATAGCAATAAAAGTATTCAGCATATTTGGCAAATATTTCCCCCATTCCACATAAAAATAACTAGCTAATGCCGTTTTTGTAAATGCCTGTCGTTTGCTACTGGAGGGACTGGAAGAAAAAAAAAGAAAACAACCCCAAATCAGAAAATATAACCAGCTTTCTAAACTGGAGCCTCTTTCTTGCACACCTGGATAGGAAAACATGCAGTGCTTAGTTGTCTTGTTACTGTGCCCTACTGAGTAACAAGAGACTTAGGCACTACATGAGCAATTTTTCAATGTTAGTGGTACAGAAGGAACTCACTGTTTCATAGTTAACCCAGCCTTCGTTCTTTGTACAGTAAGAGTAAGCAACATATAAACCTTCTATTAATTTCTAAGGTGTAAACTGCTTTCAGAAAGTTTAAGAACTGTTATGACTAAAACCAGCAGTAATCTACTGATGGCTTCTTTTTTTTCCGTAGCCTTTTTTAGAATTTTATCTAGAAAATAGATTTACTGCCAACATAAAGAAGTGCACATACATAGAGCATGACTTTTGCAGAGCAATTCTTTGTTGAAATTCAGGCTGATGGCAGAAGCCTGCAGGACGCTTCTGCTGGTGAAAGTATTAGTGGTGCTACAGAAAGGGGAGAGCCTAGAGGAGCATCTTTCTGCTGTTTCAGATGGGAAGTCTGTGACATTATCCAAGGTAGAGTGAGTAAAACTGACTGCAGGCAGTTGAGGACAAGCTGCTTGAATTGGTGACAGACTGATCTGGGTCCTTTCCTCACTCTAAGAAGCTTCAAAGGTGAGGGTCAGGTTGGGTATCAGGAAGAGGATCTGCACCAGAGGGTGGTGGGCATGGAACAGGCTGCCCAGGGCTGTGGGCACTGCCCCGAGCTGCTGGAGTTCAAAGAGCATTCGGACAGCACTCTCAGACATATAGTCTGATTTTTGGGTGGTCCTGTGCAGAGCCACAGGTTGGACTCAGTGATCCTTGTGGCTCCCTTCCACCTCAGGAGACTCTATGGTTTTATGATTAGGTCCCAAAGCTGTGTTCAGTACATGCTGATGAAGTGTTCATCACAGGCAGTGGAAGCAAAGACATGGGCTCATTGCATTTACCCAGAGCAGATGTGAAAGGAAGTGAGAATGATTCTATGATTCTGTGATTCTGACTCTTCTCATCAGTCTGAGTCTTTCTTGATTTTAAAGCAAGCCAGAATTTCTTTTTCTAACGTACTCCTGCAGCTTTCTCTGCCCTGAGATGATCAAAATGGGTTTGGTTGTGTCTTTGCTTTATTTCACAATCCAAAAATTGCAAGGTGTCAGAAAGCTTACTGCTGGGGAGCTGCCCAGGAGCAGTGCTGCTGAGGAGAAAAGGAGTGGGGAGGGAGACAGCTGCAAGCAGAGACACGAGGCCTTGCATGTGTATCACCTGTGTGGAGAAATGTGGGTCTGTCAGTTGTAGCAGGCAGACTGGCCTCTGTTGAACATCGTGGAGGAATTTAATTGTGAAATTCTTGAGAAACAATGAAATAGGAAATTCTTGCTCTTATTTGCTTTGCTTTAGTCTGTGTATTTGTTTGGGTGTTCTCAGTAGTAGGTTCTGAAGCAGCTGATCTGAATGCAAGCTAGAGGACTCAAAGATGCTAAGTTCATATAAAGCAAAAATAAAAATGCAAAGTTCAGTTACAGGGCCTGTAAGCTTTGAGGGAAAGGTTGTGGAAGTATGGGAGGAATCCCTGTGGAGGAGAGGTGGTCCGTTCCCATGCATTCATCTCACGTTAGACACGAAATTCAGCTGCAAAGATAGCTTCATAAGAAAGTGGATTTCATTAATTCTATTGTGCACCAAACAAATCTGTCTTCTCTTTAAGGCTGGGCACTTTTTCAGGTCCTTCTTCTGATGATCACATAAATAATTTGAGAATAGCTTAGATTTAAAATGGCATTTCTATCTGAAAATGTTACATCCTTTTTTACTTACAGTTAATAGTGCTGGATATTAGGGTTATTCTGTTTCTTCCTTCACGGTACGTAACAAGCATTTTCTGTATCACCACGCTGTGCATTGTGGATGCCTCAGCTCTTCTCTGACTTTCCAAGAGGGAGTTTTTCTCCTCAAGATCTAGAAAGTTGAATGATGGTGTTCACAGACTGGAATGAGAGGCAGCAGCACCGTGATCATCGCATGATGCCTGGCCAAATATTCCTTCTCATAGCTGTTCAGGAGCAGAAATCCATGTAACATTTAAATGAAGATACAATACTCAGATAGTGCCTTACCAGAAAATTAGGTAAGCTGAACTAAATTAGTTCATCGTATTGATTTACTGTTTTGTTTTTTTTTTAATTAAAGTCAGATTCACTCTACAAGCAAAGTCTAATTTTTTAATTTTCTTTTTATCTCCTTTGTAAGAGGATGTGGAGTTTTCTCTGCATATCACTGTAGAATTGCAAGTAGATAATACAGGATGGCTGTTTGTTTATGAAAATGTCTGTCCCCAGATCTTATGTCATTAGCCCTGTTTATTCTATGTTAAACTTTTGGTACGTGTTGCAGCACAACATGAACCAAAATAGTGTGAAGGACTGATATATTGTATGATAAATAAGTAAAGTATATTAATATTTTATATTCACACTTCTTATTAATGACGATAAAGATGAAAAAATATTTTTGATGTAATTTCTGTGAGTTCAGTGTTATAATGTTTTTGCCATACTTTGGCATTTAGAGTTCTATGTAACAAAACTCTTAAATTAAACCATAGCTGTCTTAAGTTCCCACCTGATCTGTAAAGTTCATTTATTTTATTATCTCTGGAAAAAATGGCACACAGATTTGCTGACCAGTGCTACTCTGTGATAGCAATAGTAACTTATTTTCCTCTTATATATTTTTTGTTGATAAACTCTATTCTTCACCTGCAATTGGATTTGTTTTAATGTACCTTTAGAGAAGATTCATTAGGAAGAGAAGCTGCAAAATTCAGCAGTTCAGAAGAGTAGTTACAATAACAAGAAAAGCATTATGTGGCAGCAGTTGGATTTTTGCGACATTCTTTCCCTTGCCTGTTTTCTACTTAATAAGATAGGAACCAAATAAATGATGAAGCCCAAAAGTCCATTGTTCTTCATGCTTCTTTTCCTAAGGTAACATTTGGTACGGTTTGGGATTGAGCAGGGAAAAAGGCAGAAAGGGAGCTTGGCCTCAGCTGGAGGGGTATCTCAACTGATGGAAGCCCTCAGAGCTCTAGTGAGCTCAAAGGTAGACCTTGGGCAATTTATAGTGAGGTTTTGCTGGCCAGAAGCCCTCATTAAATAAATTAGGATATTCTGCTAATGGGAAAACATGCTTTGGCTTGGCATTATCCTTTTGTTTTCAGCAGTGCCCTGTGTGAATCATTCAGTTAGCAGATAAAAAGCAATAAGCAACATTCAGTGCTGCACTTCGTGGTCATGCAGCCACTGGTGCTGCAGCCCTTCCAGTTTCTGTTCATGCAAAAGTCAGACTGTTGATCAGGCTGTGTCGGCACAGGTCCGGAGGTCTCTTTTTGCACAGGATTTTGCACAGGCTTTGGGAGTTTGCTTTGTTTTGTTTTAATAAGGTGCTTGGTATCCAAACAGCTACTAATACAATGTTGTAATTCAGTCACTGAAGATAATAGCATTGTTTTCCTTGTCCTATATGTGGCAGTATTTAATAAGCCGCTGGGTAGCCTTAGTTATTTTAAGTATAGAGAATGGTGCTTTAACCCTTGTATGTCTCAGCTGAAAGCTATTCTGCAACCGAGCTTTTTTGCAAGTGTTATGTCAAGAGTTCTGATTCAAGTTCTGTTACCAAAGGCTGCAAAATGATCTCGGCGCTACAAGAGCTTATGTTATAGCAAAGGGCAGAGCAGCTGGAAAGGGCAAACAGATAGTTTCAATTTTCCAAGTATATTTATGACAATTTTGGAGGTATTAGAGTTTATAGGGGTTACTTTAGATACTATATGGTATTTTAATAGGAAAGTATATACAATCAATTACTATATATATATATTTAATAAAGTCCTACTAAATTATCTTATTGAACTCTTTGTTTATTTTGTGGTGTGGTTTCAATAATTATCTGCACTCTGTATATATCTACATGTAAATAACTGGCATGACATGCATAAGCTGACTTGCAGACATAATTCTATATTGTACGTTACACTGTATTTCAAAAATTTGATAAATGTTTTTAAAAATAAAAGACCTTTCTACAGAGACTGGCCTCTTTGTTATTTTTAATCTTGGACTCTGACTGAACCTATTTTTCCCCTCAAAATAATAACACTCTTGTTATTCAGGAGTTGTGTTCAATGGTTTAACATCTAAGTGGCCTTCCGTAACAAGTGCTGTCCTTTAGAGTTCTGTATTGAGAACAGTACTATTTAATCTCTTTATCAGTGACATAGATATGGGATCAAGTGCACCCTTAGCAAGTTTGCTGATGATCCCAAGCTGAGTGGTGCAGTTGATAGGACAGAAAGAAGGGATGTCATTCAGAGAGACCTACAAAAGCTGAAGAAGTGGCCCAGGTGAGCCTAATGACATTGAAAAAGGCCAAGTACAAGATGTTGCACTTGGGTCAGGGCAATCCCAGATGTTTGTACAGACTGGCAGATGAATGTATTGAAAGCAGTCCTAAAAAGAAGGAGCTGGGCATACTGATGAAGGAACATGAACTAGTAATGTGCCCTTGCAGCCCAGAAAGCCAGTCACATCCTGGGCTGCATCAGAAGAAGCATGACCAGCAAGAGAGGTGGTTCTCACCCTCCACCCTTGAGAGACGCCATCTCGAGAATGACATCCAAACCACTATATGATTCTATGGCTTGACCTTGCAGTACTGCAAGTGCAGTAGTGGGGCTTGTCAAGCAGTTCGCTTGTGGAATAGTTAAGGTGTGAACAGAGATGCTCAAGCACAACAGTTCCAAGTCCCAAGTCCCAAGGGGTTGGGCTGATGGGAAGTGGTTGGATACAACACTGCATGTGGACATGGATATGGACTGAGCAGGCCACAGTGTTTGGGTCTGAGCTGGAAATGTTTTTGTGTGAGTTGGGCGTGATTCGCACCCTCAAAATCCATCTTCCTTTGCAGCATGAACATTATGCTTATTAAACATGATTGTGTGTTTGCACTTTCTATAATTTCATTTCACATTCATAAAGCTTTGTAATTTTGATTAAACACTGATATGGAAAGAAAAGCATTGAAAGATATTCTTGACATTTTTGCAATGGTTGGCCGGTTTTCCATTGTATTTACTGCAACAAGCTCAAAAGCTGAGCTAACCTAGAGCAAGTGCCTTTGCCAAAGATCATGGTGTGCTTTTTTAATGTAAACATGCAAGGATTCATGGGAACGTTCAGTGACCTCCACAGCCGGCATAGAAAGGAGCCTTAATTCACTTGAAAGTGCTTTGGTAATTGGAATACATCTTTCTGCCAGAATAATTGAGGAGCTGATTAGTTAGACTTACCTTTCAGGGGTATATTTCATTTAAAATTACTGTTAATGGCTCTCAGGTGCCCTTATAAGGGATTAGATTCTACTCTGAATGAAAAGCATTAGCAATTTATTTTTGTTGATGAGCATTGTTTTTGTCTTCTTACAAAAAAAAAAAAAAAAGAAAAAGAAAGAAAGAAAGAAATTCAAAGGAAAATATGCAGCTTATCTTGACAGTGGAGATTTTTCAAACATGATTGGAAATCACAGGGTGTGCATTCTGGCAGTGAGGGGATGTAGCCTGCAGGCAGGTGGGGACGCAGGGAAGGGAACTGAGGTCTGGGTTCTACACAGGGCTGCAGGGAGCAGAGGGAGGAGGAGGAGGAAGATGAAGAAGATGATGAGGAAGATAATAATGATGATGAAGATGATGATGAGGATGGCAGTGGCAATGAGGATGCCTCTTCTACCATGACTGAGCAGGAGCTGCAAGACTTCAGCCCATACTTACCTCTGCTAGAGAAACATGAACATGGTCTGTAACCAGATGAGATAGCTGTACAGCCCCATGAGAAACCTTTTGGGAGACAATTCACAAACCCAGGCGGAAGAAAGATAAAGAAACTTGAGCTTGATAGATCTCTCCAAATAAATTAATTCATGTGCAGGATACAGCTGGTTCCCAGCATGAAACCAGTGCTGTTTTGCAAGGACCTCACATAAAGATAATGAAGATTAGGATTTCAGTGTGCCTGAACAGTAAAGCTGAGCACAAAGCAACAGATACAGAGGCACTGACAACTGTGGGTGCTGAATTACTACAGAACAGGCAGAATTCCTATTGGCAAGGAAAATCCACCAAAAAAATAAGTGGAACACATCAAAGCAGGCTTTGGCAGCACTTTCTAGGGCCATCTGAGAGGCACCAGGCAAACAGCAGAAGACACCATAGAGATTTAGGTAAAATTAAGTTGTATTGGGCACTGCAAACAAATACAAATGCAAATACAGCATTACATGAAACAGCTTAAACAGCCATTCCGTGTTTGTTCTTTTTGCATGAGGGATGCTGATATTTGGTCATAAGAAATACTGTTTCTACTCCATAAATATGAAAAATTGTGCTGTCTTGAATGAGGAAAAAAAAAAAAAAAAAAAAAGAGCACAATTAGTTTTACTCTTGGAGCAACACAGAAACCATCAAGATATACCAAGAGGTTAAGGTTCTGCTACTGCTGAAGCCTTTCCTTAATATATTGTTTTGCTCATCAGTGTTTGAGATCACTTGGAATATTTCCTGGATAAATGAACTCAGAAACCTAACATCCGTGTATCTGCCAGTGCATCACGATGAGAACCTCAGGTGAATGTTGCTGTGTGTTTTAGGTAATGCAGTTAGCTCTGCTGGACACTTTGTATCCAAAGAGAAAAAGAAAGGGTGTTTCTTTATCACAGTGTTATCTGTGTACATCCCTCATACTGAAACCCATCTCAGTGCAGCAGGGACAAATGCAGCTTTTGCCTCTCCACCATTTGCAAGGCACTGCCCCTGTCAGCCTTCTCCCTGTGGGACACACAGAAAGGTGCAGCCAGCAGCTGCAGTGCCGGAGGAAACACAACCCTCTGAGCCTCCTCAGTGGGTTGGTGCCTTCTCCATGGCCTCAGCCCCTTCACCACTGACATGGAAATCATACTTCATGCCTGTTACTGCGTGGTAGGGTTACTGACATCTTGCAGTGCCATCCTCATTGGTGATTAGTGTAAGAACCTAACAGTGTATTTAAATGCATGCTCACCAGTGTAGCACAGAGGTGAGTATA